TGGTCCCTATATCAAGAGGGATCCAAGAAAAGGAAAAGCTTTCTAAATGTAGCTGGAGAAGCAAGACTGGTGTCTTGCACACAGTAGGTAATTGATAAATGTGTATCATACAAGTGCATGCAAAAAAGTTATGTACAGTAAATAAGTACCATATGGTAATTCGGGGGAAAGCAGAGCTCTTGGAACCAGCAGGCAGACTGTGGTCTTAGCTCTGCTGCTTCTTGGTGGGGGTGGGGGGTGTCTCTGTTTCCTTGTCTATGGAGTGGAGCTAATGATACCCCTCTCAGGGGTTGTTAGGATATCAACGAGAACACGTGTGGAGCTGCTCAGACAGGGAGTGCAGTCAGTGAACAGACTCTGGCCCAGATCTGAGTGCCGGGGAGTGACACCTGCTGAGCAGTGACAAGAAGATGGAGGCCAAGAAGGTTCTAGAACAGAGAAAGTGAGTTCATTGGCCTTTCAGTAGACACCACTGATCACAGTACACCTGTGTGTGCAGCAAGGTGCTGGCTACTGCAGGGAAACCAAGATCATGGGGGTGGGGGGGGAACCAGTGGTGATGCCCTACTGTGTGCTGGGTGTTGTCTCTGCGCCTGAGCTCAAGGTGCTGGGAGAGTGGTACAAAGCCCTCTCCAAACAGGGGCTTCTCAGGGCCTGCATTGTGCAACAGTAAGTAAAGCCACATGATGTTGGCATCCCATATGTACACTTGTTCATGTCCTGGCTGCTCCACTTCTGGTCCAGCTTCCTGCTCATGGCCTGGGAAAAGCAGGGGAGAATGGCTCAAATGGGAGGGAGACCCAGAAGAAGCTCCTGGCTCCTGGCTTTGGCCTGGCCAGCCCTGGCCTTTGCAGCCTTCTGGGGCGTGAACCAGCACATGGACGATTTCTCTGTAGCTCTGATTTTTAAAATAAAGAAGTAAATCTTAAGAAAACAAATAAAAAAAAAAAAAGCCAGGGTCTCCCTGAAGCCAATCCCTGGACTGTTGCGAGGCGGGAGTCCAGGAGGAGAGGATACTGCACACCTTTAAAAGAATGTTTAGGAAGCACAATTTGGGAGGCCATGGGATTGTCGCTGCACATTCAGGTTTCCTGAGACGTTTCCTTCTTTCTCCGTTTTCTTGCTGGAAGCCTGCGGAGTGAGGCGTGAGTGTGCTTCCCCTTGGGTGTGGTCAGAGTCCAGAGCAGTGCTATAATCCCGAGTCTCTTTGGAGACATTTCTGCGTGTGGAAAGACCCCTCCACGTTCAGGATCTCCTGTGTAAAAAACACGCGCCCAGTTTTGTTTATTGATCATTTAGATTCACATTGAAAGAGCATTCCATCTAAACCAAGACTATTTTCCAAGCTGTTGTGGCATATAAAGACTATTGTAATTCTTATTTGAGAGAGAGAGAGTCTTGCATCTATGGTTCGCTTCCCAAATGCCCACAACAGCTCGGGCTGGTTCAGTCTGAAGCCAGACACCCAGAGTTCAGTCTGGGTCTGCCATGTGGGTGGCAGGGATCCAACTACTGGAGCCCTCACCTGCTGCCCCCCAGGATGTGTGTTAGCAGGAAGCTGGAACTGGGAGTGGAGCTGGGACTCAAACCCAGACATTTTGATACGGGATGTGGGGTTCCCCCCCCGACCCCCAAACAGCATCCTAACTCCCTGGCCAAATGCCTGCCCCTAGGGCATGTTTTAAGTAGACAAGTAGGATATGGAGCTAGAAGGGACGTTCTGAGCAAGCACGGGAAGGTTCCAGAGTGTGGGAGAGCCCGGGCGTGCTCAGCTGCCGCCCGAGTCCCACCTGGGACGTCGTGGGGTGGACCCTGGAGAGGTGGGTAACCGGTGTTTGAGTGAACTCACTGGTGACAGGAGAAGCACATGCGACTGAAGGGCTACACCCGCAGTTGCCTTGGAAGGACACGGGGAGGATGTGGCTTCTGGGCAGGGCCTGGGAGGCAGAGGTCAGTGTCAAGGGCTGTCCACAAGACCCAGCAGCCTGGCACTTCCGGGAACAGAATCCCGCAAAGGCCGTCTCCAGGTAACCGGTGCTTAGCCCGGAGGACGCAGAAGGACAGAATCCTCCACCCGAATATTGCAAATGCCCTGTCTCCCACCACAGTGCTCCGCCCCAGGCACAATAATGCCGTCCCCCGAGGACAGCCCCTCTCGGCTGAGCGATGGCGCTCGGTGCATTTCTGAGGGGACTTCAGGACACGGCTGAGGCCTCTCTGCCTCTCAAATACATACATACATACATACATACATACATAAAAAACATAGGCGTTCTGTTTTCTTGCTCATTATGAACCAAACTAAAAAAGTTTTCTTAAAAGTACAGAGGGAAGAGATGGGGATCAGGGATAAGGAAAAATTTGAAAGCATGGAGTTTGACATTTTGGCCTGACGGCGCGTTGGGAGTGATTTGGCCCTAGGCCTGGGTGGGCCTCGTGCAGTAAACAAGGCATCCCTGGGTTCAGAGCTTAGCCCTGCTTTTAGCTGTGGGTTCTTGGTTAGCTGACTCTCTGATCCTCAGTCTTCTCATTTGCAGAATGGTGAGAGGTTCCCAGCCTCACAGGGCGAGGGTGATAAACCAACAGAATAAACCATGAGCACCTCTTGGGGCCACCGATGGGAGACAGATGTGTGCGAGGCTTCCTTCTCCTGGGTCCCCACAGTTTTTTCCCTCCCCCCCGCCCCCCGGAGCCTTGTGGGCAGCAGGAGGCCCGTTCATTCAATAGTTATTGACTGACTGCTTATTATGTATTAGGCATAAGTAATTTAAAAACAGAGGGCCAGTGCTGTGGCATAGCAGGTAAAGCTACCGCCCTCAGTGCCGGCATCCCTTATGGGTACTGGTTCAAGTCCTGGCTCATGGCCTCAGAAAGTGGTAGAAGATGGCCCAAGTCCTTGGGCCTCTGCACCTGTGTGGGAGACCCAGAGGAAGCTCCTGGCTCCTGACTTCAGATTGGCCCAGCTCCCACTGTTGTGGCCATTTGGGGAGTGAACCAGTGGATGGAAGACCTCTCTCTCTCTCTCTCTCTCTCTCTGCCTCTTCCTCTCTCTCTGTAACTCTGCCTTTCAAATGAGTAAATAAATTGTAGGAAAAAAAATGAGAGGAATTTAGAATGAAATAGACCTCAACCTTCTCTTCCTAGATTTTTCCATCTGGGGGTGGAGACAGATAAAGCAATTCACAAAGAAAGCAAAGTTTAAATTACAAAATGTACTTGATGGAATGACGGAAGGGAAAAGTTGGGGTGGGGGGAGGGGAGCTCTGTTGAGGTTGAGGGCAGGGAAGGCCTCTCTGGGAAGGGGCTCAGCCAGGCAGGGAAAGGGGAGGTACTCCAGGCAGAGGGAACAGTGTATGCCGAGGCCCTGAGGTGGGAAAGAGTTTTGCCAATGGGAGGAAATAGAAGGAGGTTCCTGTAGCTGGGAGGAGCCATGGGAGAGGCTGGGTAAGGAGGCAAGGAGGTGGGAATTGGACTTTAGGTGCGATCTGAAACTGCTAAGCAAGCAAGTGACCCGATCTAATCTCTAAAATCCTCCCGGCCACTGGTCCTGGGGGAGTTAGCATTTTTCTCTGCTCAGCCTCCCCCATCATAGCCCAGCTCAGGCCTGCCTGCAGGAGGGGCCCCCAGGCTGGGCACGGTGTGTAGAGCGAGGCCGGGCTGTGTCCGTACACAGCTCGGCTCTGTGTGGTGTGTGCAGGAGCCTGTCTACCATCCACTCAAGCAGGTGCTTGCCCGCCCCATCTTCCCAGCTGGCTGGGAGGGAGGGAGGGAGAAGGCAGGGGCGCCCCTCCGAGAGCAGGTGGGGTGGACCTCGGTGGCAGCTGAACCCAGGTTGTGAGTCGGGCGCCCCGCTGGGTCACTGGTGATTCTCATCTTCACTGAGATCCCCAGCCTGGTTTTCAGGGAACGGGAGGTGGCCTGATAAGGACCAAAATCCGCATCCCGTACCCCCTTGTTCAGGCCAGAGATCCCATGGGCAGGGCCCAGCATGACCTCTCTGTGTTGGAGCAGGCAGACTATTGCAAGCCTTCCAGAAACCCTTGAGATAGCCACAGGAAAAGGCAAAGCTGCTCCGGCCCCACGCTGAGCACCAACCCCAAGGGGGCCTGCAGCCTCTCTCTGGGGAGGGCTCAGATCCTGCCCTGCTGTCAGTCAGAGGCCGCACGGCCCCTTCAGCTTCTACCTTGCCCTGTTACTCAGACTGGAGAGCTGCGGCCACAGAACACAGAGATTCACACTGAGCTGTCCCAGGCAGTGGAGTGCAGGGTGCTGGGCTCACCAGCTCCCCTGGGATTGAGGTGCTAATGAAACAGTGCCTGAACCTGACCTTGGGGTGGCAGCCATTGACGTCAGCCAAGTTGAAATGATGTAACCTGAGTCTCCCCCTGAGGTAGATGTGCAGGGCCCTGAGGTTAGGGGAGGGAGTGGCCGGGAGGCTGACCAGTGGATGGAACTCAGGGCCAACCCAGCCTGGGCCAGACCAGGCCAGGCCAGGGTGGAGTCCCCAGGTACTGCTGTCACAGGGGAATCTGGTGGCCGAGTGCTTCTGGCAGGCAGGATGTGCTACCTGAGCGAGTGGCCCAAGTCCTTTCTGAAGGCATTTATCCGACATTACAGCCACCATCAGGTAAGACAGTGGGCTTCTTCCAGGCACAGGTGACAGAGCCGGGAGCGGCGGGGGGGCTGTGACAGGAGCAACAGCACTACCTCGGGTTGTGCTACAGTTATGTGGGACTTCACAAGTATGCATGTGTGTGCGTGCACAAGTCACCTCACGTGGGGACAAAGCTCTACCTGGCCACACCTGGAGGTGACATGGTGCTCCTGTGGCTGTGCACACTGTGGTGCTCCGGGCAGGTCCGATGTTTTGAGGTCAGAGCGGCAGCCTGGCCTCTGTTTCCCTCCTTTGCTCATGACCTCAGCCCTGAGATGCCGGGGGAGGTCCCCGGGGCCTGCAAGTTCTGGGCCTGGTGCTCTGAGTTTGCCCTTGGATTTTCCAGGTGGATTTTCTGATTGAAAATGACGCAGAGAAGGACTACCTGTACGACGTGCTGCGCATGTACCACCAGTAAGTGTGCTGGCTCCGGCTGCCCGGGCCACTCTGGCTCCTCTGGCTCCAGGAGCCCTGGGATGAGCTGTGCTGAGACAGACGCTCAGGGAAGCAGACGCTCAGTGTCACTGGGACTCAGACGGACATGGCCGTCACCACCTTCGGCCACTATTATTCACACAGATCCTCAGTGCCTGGCTCTGTGCTATGGGCTAGGGGTACATGCAGATGCAAGACAGACCAGTCCGTGCCCTCCGAGTGCTGTCAAGTAGCCAGATAGATTGAATAGGGCGTGATTGTTGGCACAAGGACAGGAAGTGCCAGCTAGCCCCAGACTCTGATCACGCACTTGCTAGTTAATTTACCCAGCATACGTCTATAAGCTCCCGCCACTTGCTGGGCACCAGGCAGAGGCTGGAAACAAATATGATCCATATTTTCTCCTTGAGGAGCTGGTGCAGCGGAGGGAGGTGAACAAACACAAGTAACCCTGCTGTGAGTTACAATGAAAATCATAAACTGTTGAGTTATTATGAAAATCATAAAAGCAGGAGGGTGAAGAAAGATGTTTTCACATCTTTTAAAATAATTCTTTATGGGGTCTGGCACTGTGTGGTATAGCAGGTAAAGCTGCTGCCTGCAATGTTGGCATCCCATATGGATGCCAGTTCAAGTCACAGCTGCTCCACTTCCAATCCAGCTCTCTGCTATGGCCTGGGAGGGCAGTAGAGGATGGCCCAGGTTCTTGGACCCCTGCACCTATGTGGGAGACCTGGAGGAATTTCCTGGCTCCTGGCTTCAGATCAGCTCAGCTCCGGCTGTTGAGGCCATCTTGGGAGTGAACCAGTGGATGGAAGACCTCTCTCTCTTTCTCTCTCTCTTTGCCTCTCTGTAACTCTGACTTTCAAATAAATAAATAAATCTTTAAAAAAAAAAAAAAAAAAAAGGAAGGCAGAGTGACAGAGAGATAGAGACAGATTGTCCATCTGCTGGTTCACTCCCCAACCCTGGGGACTCCATGTAGGTCTCCCACATGGGTAGCAGGGCTCGAGTACTAGGCCATCATCCGCTGCGTTCCCCAGGGCATTAACCGGGAGCTGGAGGGAAGCGGAGCAGCCAGTCCTCAAGCCAGTGCTCTGATATGGGACGCTGGCGTTACAAGTAGCAGCTTGGCCCATAATGCCCAACAACTGCAGCCAGAAGAACCAGGAAGGCTCGAGCGAGACTTTGTAGGATATTTTATTTTTTTTTAAGATTTTATTTATTTATTTATTTATTTGAGAGGAAGAGTTACAGACTGAAGAAGAGAGAGAGAGAGAGAGAGAGAGAGAGAGAGAGAGAGAGAGAGAGGTCTTCTATCCACTGGTTCACTTCCTAGTGGCCACAATGCCTGGAGGTGGGCCGATCCGAAGCCAGGAGCCAGGAGCTTCTTCCGGGTCTCCCACGTGGGTGCAGGGGCCCAAGCACATCCTCTACTGCTTTCCCAGACCCTAAGCAGGGAGCTGGATCGGAAGAGGAGCATCCAGTTCTAGAACTGGCATCCATATGGGATGCCGGCACCACAAGTGGCAGCATAGCCTACTACGCCACAGCACCGACCCGGATAAGGTGGCTTTTGACAGGTGGAATTTCAGGGAAGGGCTTTGCAGTTCAGCTCAGCAAAGGCCCAGTGGCGTGGACGTGCAGGGTGAATGGGGCATAAGTGATCTAGGAGGATGGGGCTTGGAGCACATGGAAAGCACAGATATTTCATGGAGACAAGACATAGAGGAGCCTGCCAAAGAGTGGGTTTTGTCCTCTGGGCAGTAGGGAGCTGGGAAGGGCTTTGAGAAGGGGAGTGACTTACACTTGGGAAAGATTAGATAAGAGTGAGCATGTCAGTAGGTGGCTGGAGACATCGGGGGCCTGGGGCAAGGGGCGTGGAGGAGGAGGTGGGTGAGAGGCGTTGTCAGGACAGAATCTATAGAGTTTAGCAGCAGAGCACAAGTGAGGGACAGAGCCATGAGCGAGGTCCTCTATGTCCATAGATGTTTCCTGGCTAGAAAGACCCTGAACTTGAGAACTTGGCAGAGCTGAAAGTGAAATCCTGGCCCCATTGCATCTGCAAAATGGGTTCACAATCCCTAGCTCGCTGGTTTCCTTGTGCTGTTTATGTGAGAGAACAAAGCTCTTCTAAAGTTCCTGGGCCAGAGTTAGGGGCCCTGGGATTTTCAGGAGCGTCCTCCTCCACTCCAGGCCAGGCCAGCCTCCTCCGGGAGTCCCCAGTCCCCAGAGGTCATGGCAGGGGCCAGGTTGCAGGCATCTCCGTGTCTGTCCACAGGGCCATGGATGTGGCCGTGCTGGTGGGAGACCTCAAGCTGGTCATCAACGAGCCCAGCCGCCTGCCACTCTTCGATGCCATCCGGCCCCTGATCCCACTGAAGCACCAAGTGGAGTACGATCAGCTGACCCCCCGGCGCTCCAGGTGCCCAGGGTGCCGCGGGGCGCGAGGTGGGGGTGGGGGTGGGGTGGGAGGAGAGGCCACTTTGGAAGGACAGAGGCTTTCGCAGGTGGGCAGTGGGGGCTGGGCTGTGCCATCACTGGCCTCTCTGCCATGCAGGAAGCTGAAGGAGGTGCGTCTGGACCGTCTGCACCCCGAAGGCCTCGGCCTCAGCGTGCGCGGTGGCCTTGAGTTTGGCTGTGGGCTCTTCATCTCCCACCTCATCAAAGGCGGCCAGGCGGACAGCGTCGGGCTCCAGGTGAGTGAGCAGAACCCGGAGGTGGGGCACTCAGACTTCCTGTCTCCCCTGCACTCATCTGCTAGGCTGTGGCACTCCGTGCCCACCCGTTTTTCTGAGCCTTTGGGAGAGAAGGACGCCCCCTGCTGGCGTTAGCAGATCCATAGAGATGAGGGAGCAGGCAGGTGCTTGTTTTCTTGTCAGGCTGGGAACTGGGCTGTTGCTGGGCTTCCTCTACTTGCCCGACTTCCAGAAGGGGGCATCGTTAAGCCCCAGCACCCGAAGCTTTGGACTTGTTGTCTTGTACAAGCAGGGAAAAAGAAATCAGTAGGGTGCTTAAGAGCCTAGACTCCAGCTGGACCCCCAGCTCCAAACCGTTGTCTTTGCTAATTCCTTCAGCCATGTGACTTTGGCGACATGACTCGACCCTGTGCCTCAGTTTCTGCATCTGTAAAATGGGGCGATGATAATACATGTCCTAGCTAGTGGCTCCTTAGGTTGTATGAAGAATAAATCAGTGTTAGAGAGTGCTTCTAACAGTAGCTGCCACCAAAGTGCTGTGTGCTTGGTAAGTAGGCAGGCAGAGGGAGATTTAATCAATGCAATGATTGTTTGCTAAATACCTTTATAATTATCACAAGTATATGTGCTGTGTGAGACACACCCAGTTCCCACCATATGCACTGGATGGCCCGTGCCCTTCCTACAGAGCTAATGCAGGCTGGGAGGCCCATAAGGGGCACAGCCAGCATTAGAACCTGGCTCTCCTGACGCCAAGTCCAGGGATGTCCCTTGGGCACCAGAAGTGCTTCCCCCCCCCCCGGGCTCCCCACAGCTCAAGGTCTGGGCAGACATGGGCAGGCCTCCCGGTCTCTCTCCTGCCATAGCCCAGAGCTGTGCTTTTGTCTGTCCAGAGAAAGGAGGGCCCCCCCCCCGGCCCTCTCGAAGCTTCCAGCGTGTTTGTTATCCACATCCCGGCCCGGGCTGCCAAGCCAGGGGCTTCAGGGGGCCGAGCGCTAATGGTGCAAGGCACTGTGGAGTGGGGGGCGGGAGCAGGGAACTGACAGGCCTGGCTTTGTTCTGAGTCCCTGTCTCACGGCTCTCGCCGCGGGCGTCTGAAATTTCAGACCCTTCATTATTCCTCTCCTCTGCGGCGCATTTTCCAGCCCAGAAAGGCAGCCGGAGGAAAAACATAATGAGCTCCTCTCTTGGCGTCAGCCGAGGGCCTCTTTTTTTCTGGGGCGAGCTCTCCTCCTAGGACAAGCACTGCCCCACAGTGCCCCGGTGATCGGGGGCATGGCAATGAAACCAAGTCTGCTGGCCGGCCGGGCTGTTTCTCAGGCTTGTGGACCATCTGCCCTCCCGGGGCTCCTCACGCCTTTGTGCCGCTGGCCCTCAAAGGCTCGGATCATGGTATTCCTGCACAAAGGGCCTTTTGCAGGGCCGCACACGAGAGGGAAGCTGATCTTGCAACCTGAGCCGGGCGCTGCATGGGAATTCTGCTGGCCGGGGGTCCTGGGCAGGCTCCCGAGGGGAGCAAGATAGCGAGCTTTGCTCAGGGGAGCTTGGGGGGAAAACATCTACATCCGTTTACCTGTTGGGGTCCTGGGGCGAGCTCATGCCTGTGGGCAGCTGGGAGAAGATTCTGGAAGGCAGGAGAGGGGGCAGCCTGGGCCAATGATCCTGTGCAGATGGAAACTGAGCTGGGTGCCTAGGAGGGGGGTCGCACCCTCCCACGGGCCCTTGTCGTGGGCTCTATCCCTCTGCTCCTGTCCCCCTACTGGGGAGAATTTGGATTTTTAAGAGTACCCTGTCTTCACCTGCATCACCAGCCCTGCACAGGACAGCCTGTGTTCCCCAGCGTGCTGCATAGCCTGCGGCTGGAAGAAGATTCCCTGTGCCTTGGATGTCCCAGCTGTAAATGGACAGAGCAGTCCCTGCCTTCTCCTGAGCCCCAGCGACGCTGACAGGTGGCAGGGATCAGGGAGGGCAGGAGGCAGAGGCCAGGCACCCGAGAGACGTCGCCTGTTGGAATCCTCACTGCGCCGTCTCCTAGCTGGGTGACCTCTAGCAGCTCTGTCATGTCTCTAAGCCTCAGTCTCCTCATCTGACTCACAGAGACACGGCTTGCTGCCTGGCAGGTACGAGGCGCGAAGCCCGCTGTTCTCCTGGTGTTGCAGGTCCTTGGAATCCCAGGGCATCCTCTAGGGAGCCTCTCCCTGTTGTGACCGCCTGAGCCCCTTGCCGCTGCTGTCAGGGTCTGTGTCCAGGCGTGGGAGGGAAGCTTCCCCAGCAGTGGTGAGAAGGTGACCCTGAGGGAGTATTTTAGGGCTGGAAGTTGGCCGAGGGGACCCCTGAGAGGCTGTGTGTCTACCCCACCCCTCCTCACCCAGACCCCACAGAGTCCAGCTTGTGTCCTCCAGGGAATCAGCGCGTGTGACTGGAGTTAAGCCTCCAGCTTAGCCTGCACGGGGCACCCAGGGTCCAGTCCCAGTTTTGCAGCTATGGGCTGTGTGACTTTGGACTTCACAGCACGTCCCTGGGCACAGCTGCAGCCCACAGCTGAGTCACCTTCCTCTGCTGAGTGAGGAGTTTGAGGAGCGATCCCCAGAGCCAGAGAGCCTGGAGAAGTAGCAGCAGTGCCCAGGAGGGGGCAGTCTCACCGCAGGTCTGGGTCCAGGGCTTGCCCGTGAGTCCCATCTTCCACCTCGTGGCCGCCTAAGCTCTGAGCAGAGGGATTTGAGCATGGACCTAACTAATGAAAACATTAGCAACCACTTATTGCACACTTACTATATGCCAGGCGCTGCTGGGACAAGTTCACGTAATTCTCACAGCAGCCGCAGCACTGCCCACTTTCCAGATGAGGGAAACTGAGGAACAGAGAGATCAAGAGACGTGCGCAAGGTCATGGAGCTAATGAGAATAAATGGGAGGATTCGAGCCCAGGACATCAGATGCCAAAGCCCTGAGCTCATTGGCTGTTCTTTGCTTGCTCCCAGAATAGGAGTTCAGAGGTCAGGGCCATGGCAGAAGCAAAGATGCTCATCAAGTTTCCATAGAATGGGAAAAAGAGATGGTGTGTGCATGTGCGAGCTTGGGTCAGGAGTCACGAAGTAGGGCGGGTGTTTGGTGCAGTGGTTAAGACACTGCTTGGGACACCTGCATCCCGTATCCGAGTGCCTGGTTCGAGTCCCAGTTCAGCCCGATTCCAGCTTCACCCTAGGAGGCAAAAGGTGATGGTCCAAGTGCTTGGGTCTCTGCCACCCAAGTAGCATACCTGAATTGAGTCCCCAATTCCTGACTTCGGCCACTGAGGGCATTTGGGGAGTAAACCAATGGATGGGAGGTCTCTTTCTTTCTCTCTCTCTCTCCTCTCTGCATTTCAAATATATAAAAATAAGGATTTTTTTTTTTAACAAAAAGGAGTCACAGAAGGTCCCACCTTCTCAGTTACAATGTCACAGTGATCGACAGAGAGGGTGGAGCCAGCTCCAGCTTCTCTGGGGCTGGGTAGGGCAAAGGCCGGGCGGAAGCTGCCGAAAGCTGGGAGAAGCGCTGCCCTGTGGCTGATCACAGAACCTGCTGGTCTCCAGTGCAGTGGACAGGGCACAGAGCGAGGGTGCGGTCCTGGGTTCCACTCTTGGCACTGCTACCCCCCCACTGTGCCCCCACACCCCATCGTGGTTCCCCCATCTGTGAAGTGGGGTGCAGAGCCTGCCTGCCAGTGCCCCCCGCCCTGGGCTTCTCGGGCCCACAGACGGTGGGTTGGCTGTGACGAGGTCCTGGGCACAGGTCAAGGGTCATTCTGGGCGTGGCCCGGCCGTGGTTCCCTGGGTGAGAGAGCAGGCCCTCCACCTGATGCTTGTCCCTTCTCTGTGGCCAAGGTCGGGGACGAGATCGTCCGCATCAATGGCTACTCCATCTCCTCCTGCACGCACGAGGAGGTCATCAACCTCATCCGGACCAAGAAGACCGTGTCCATCAAAGTGAGGCGTGAGTGAGGCCCGTGGGGTAGGGCTCGCTGCCGTGGGCTGGGGTAGGCAGTGGGGGCACGTGAGGAGCCCGGGGGAGGGAGGGAGCACAGGGAAGCCGCCCTAACTCCATGCCTTCCTCCCGCAGACATCGGCCTGATCCCAGTGAAGAGGTGAGCGGGACCCTTCTGCCAGCAGCCTCTTCCCTCTGTGCCGGTGGCCCTGGGTCAGCCCTGCGCCTGAGCCCCCCTCCACTCCCACCCCAGCCAGGGCTGCTCCAGGGCCAGTGGAGGCTGGGCCTCCAGTCGTGGCAGCCACGGACATGAGGCCCCTCAATCAACTCCCCTGACAACCCACTTCTGTTTCCCCTCCCGTCAGCTCTCCAGATGAGCCCCTCAAATGGCAGTACGTGGACCAGTTTGTGTCGGAATCTGGGGTAAGGGCCAGGACCCCTATGATGGGGCTTCTAGGCATGGTGGCCAGTCCTGAAGGGAGGCTGGGCCCTCAAGGGCTTCACACTGGGCCCCAGAATGCCCAGAAGGCCCCTGGGGGGGACAATGGGCACTCAGTCAGGTCCAGCTGGCATAGGCACACATCTGGCCAACGTGAAGAAGGATCCAGCCTCCAGCCACCTGCAGGCAGTGGACAGTCGGTGACCCTGCTTCTGTGCCTCCTGCAGGGCAGCCGGGGCAGCGTGGGCTCCCTCGGGAGTCGGGAGCAGAAGGAGAAGAAGGTCTTCATCAGCCTGGTGGGCTCCCGGGGCCTCGGCTGCAGGTGGGTGGCAGGCATGCCGTGACCCCGACACCTGTCTCCCTCCTCACCGCACTTGTCCACTGGGGATGCGGCTTCACCACTGCTGATGATGCTCTTGGTGTCTGATTTCCCTGTAGGGAGGGGCCAGAGGGGCGGCTCCAACTGGGACCACTTTACAGATGTGGACACTGGGGCCCAGAAGCAGCATCATGTTCCTTGGGTGGGCTCTTGAGTGGCTGTAAAAGGCACCTGCATGGCTGGTCACCTCTGTCACTGTTCCCTGTCACTGACTACCTTGTGGGCCGCCCAAAGAGGCAGCCAGGGGACTGGAAGCATTGGGACACATGGGCACTCAGATCTCGGTGCCACCCTCCTCTGCCACGTATGAGCCCCAGGGTCTTGGACCAGAACATAAAGTGCTGAGCGTGGAGAAAGCAGGGGCTACCTATGAGCTAGTATGGTGTAAGCTCTTATTATTTTGTCTCGGTCACTTTTTTTTTTTAATGCTTTGGTGCTTTTAAAATTTATTTAAAAATAAGGTTTTTCCTTTCTAAGAGACAACAGCCAAGTGCAGAAGCCAACCCTATAAACAAATAGGCACAGTATAGGGTGACAAGGGCTCTAAGGAAGCAACCACGGGTCAGGGATGCGAGATAGGTTTCCCATCTATGCCATCTCTAATCAGTTAGTCGTGGCTGCCTGGGGTACTGTTTTGACCAGTATTCTAAGGCTGTATCCGGGCTTGGTGGGAGAGTGCTGTGATCGGTTAGTGATGTCTGCCTTAGGTCTAGAAGGCGAGAACAGTGCAAGTGCTGCCGCTCCCTGCCTTGCTGAGAAGGAAGCAACTGGCCTAGCTCAGGTAGAATAAGGGATCTGGTGAAAAGCGTATAGAGGAGACAGCACCTGCGTCTTAAGGAATGCACAGGAAGTGCTACAAACAGAGAAATGGCGTTTTTGGTCCATGGAGTGAGGGATTGGGCAGGGGATTTCCAGGTGGTTTTCTGTGGCTGTGGAGCAGTGGAAATGAGGCTGGACAGGGAGACAATGGCTACAGAGGGAGACAGTGGAGGGCTCACAGGCAATCCTGCACCCTGGACATGGGGACACAGGCAGGGCACCAAGGACAGGCCAGGGCTGCACAAGCAAAGCCACACCAGCATTTCCCATCCCCCACAGCATTTCCAGTGGCCCCATCCAGAAACCCGGCATCTTCATCAGCCACGTGAAGCCCGGCTCACTGTCTGCCGAGGTGGGGCTGGAGGTGAGTGACCCCGTTGGGGTGGATCCCACAGCGTTGGAGGCACAGCCCTCTCTCCACAGTCACTGGCTGCAGATTCTTACCCACCCCACAGGGAGGGCATCACAGGGTGGGGGGTGCAGTGATGTCTGACTTTCCCTACGGTCCAGTTCTGCAAGTTGTTGAAAGCCTGTTGGTGCTGAGCTCGAACTCGGGCCTGTACTGGAAGAACTCAGAGTTGACATGCCCTTCACACTTTACAAGAACTCTCAGGCTTAAAGACTATGACGACCGAGCCGGCGCCGTGGCTCAATAGGCTAATCCTCCACCTTGCGGCGCCGGCACACCGGGTTCTAGTCCCGGTTGGGGCGCCGGATTCTGTCCCGGTTGCCCCTCTTCCAGGCCAGCTCTCTGCTATGGCCAGGGAGTGCAGTGGAGGATGGCCCAGGTGCTTGGGCCCTGCACCCCATGGGAGACCAGGAAAAGCACCTGGCTCCTGGCTCCTGCCAGGATCAGCGCGGTGCGCCGGCTGCAGCGGCGGCCATTGGAGGGTGAACCAACGGCAAAGGAAGACCTTTCTCTCTCTGTCTCTCTCTCTCACTGCCCACTCTGCCTGTCAAAAAAAAAAAAAAAAAAAAAAGACTATGACGACCCCCATTTTACAGATGAGGAAACTGAGACCCCGAGGAAGTGGGGTTTTTCTAAGGCCATGTGTCTGGTGTGGCAGAGCTGGGATTCAAAGCTAGGTTGTCTGACGCCAGCACTGGAGCTCTTAACCTCTTCTTTTGGACATGCTGCTTCCTGTCTCTGCTTTAGTTGCCTGGCCTGTAAAATGGGGAGAATTGCTGCTTTCTCCCTAGGGTAGTTGTGGGGGTTAAATTCATTTGCTCCTATGCCAGAGCCATGCCAGGCACGAGAGCAGCGCTCAGTGTCAGTCTCTGTGACCATCATTACGATGATGACTCAGCATAGCCTCTGCCTTAGAGAAGCCCAAAGGCTCCTGTGTCTACAGACTGAGGTTTTTTATTTAAAGCAAGTGTCATCAATTTATCCAAAGAAATGAAGCTCTCATGGGGTAATGTTTGGTAGCTGGTAAGATAATATGAAGTGGAGGGGTGCCAGGGTGAGCTTGGGGCCTTCCCAGGGTCCCATCAGAGCATGACAACTGCTCTGCTCATCGGGAGGGGTCACTTGGCAGCCCTGGCGCCCTGGGGGAGCTGTCCCACAGAGCAGGGAGCGTGCAGCTCACTAACCCTTCTGTTTCTCCACCAGACTGGAGACCAGATCGTTGAGGTCAATGGCATCGACTTCTCCAACCTGGACCACAAGGAGGTGAGGTGGGGGGACAGGGGGGCTCCCCCTCCTTGTCTGAGCACCGCGGGCATGGTGTGCACTTTGCCTGGCCTGCTTGGGCTGTCAGGCCTCAGCCGCTGCCCTCCTGTCCCCACAGGCCGTGAACGTGCTGAAGAGCAGCCGCAGCCTGACCCTGTCCATCGTGGCTGGAGCTGTAAGTTCAACGCCCTGACCTCCAGGCCCAGCCCCTCAGACCCCTGAGCGCTGCCACCCACTGCCAGGAAAGGCCAGGGGGTCTCCTTCCCAACAGAGCGGAGTGAGAGGACTCCAGCCTAGGCAGGAGAAGCCTGGGTGACCCCCACAGTACCCGCGCCTGCGAAGACACCACAGCCGGGCTCCCAGGCAGGGGGCCTGACCAGGGCCTTTGTTCTCCCCTCGAGGGCCGGGAGCTATTCCTGACGGACCGGGAGCGGCTGGCGGAGGCACGGCAGCGGGAGCTGCAGCGCCAGGAGCTCCTGATGCAGAAGCGGCTGGCCGTGGAGTCCAACAAGATCCTGCAGGAGCAGCAGGAGATGGAGCGACAGTGAGTGGGGCCCCGCCCCCTGCCCTGGAGGCCCCGCCCTCTGCAAAGGCCCCACCCACCCCGTGCCCTGGGGTGGGCTTCATCCCCTGGGCGCTGTGTTGAAGTCTTGTTTCCCTTGCTTGATTTAATGCCCACAGTAGCCCTGGGACAGAGGTGGTGTTGACCCCATTCTGGAGGTGACGAGGCTGAGACCCAGAGAGGGAGAGCCCAGATGTCCAGAGTCTCCCATGGCCAAGCTGGGATTCACACCCAGGCAGTCTGGCTACAGAAGCCCACCCCACCCCCAGGGTGGTTAAATGATGGACCGGGAGAATTGATGGGGCAAACAATTCATAAATCAAAAAATCCAAATCCAGATGCATTCTAGGCACTTAGCAAGAGTCTGAGAAAGATCTCCCTGTGTTCCCTATCACTGAGCTAGCCTGTACAGTGACCCCTGCTTGGCAGCTCCTGCTTTGCCCCTGAGGTCTCGGGGCTGAGAGGACCCTCAGTCAGTCCACACCCTGCTTCTTGTCAGCCACTTTATCTAAGAGTTTGGAGGTGGAGTGTGACCTTGGGTGCACCTGCCTCCCTCCACACAGAATCTGTGCTCAGCCATTCCAGACAAAACCACAGAGGAACACAGGGCCCAGACTTTGTTGGGTAGCTTCCCCAGCCCCCGAAAAAAAACCCAAAACATTGAAAAGTTCTTGAACCAGGAGTTCACCACAAGGAAGAGGTAACTCCTCTTGCATAGACTCAAATAGACCAACCTGCATTTGTGCTTCAGAAGGAGAAAGGAAATTGCCCAGAAGGCAGCCGAGGAGAACGAGCGGTACCGGAAGGAGATGGAACAGTGAGTGGCACGGACCCGCACGTGTGTGTCTGTGTGGACGGGAGCATGCTTGCAGCAGCAGGAGCTCAGGAGCCGAGGCCACCTCTAGACCCAGTTTACCTGGGCCTCTGGTTCCCTGGTGGATCTTCCTTGATCTGCAGCTAATGCACAAGCCTGATAAAGCCCATCATTTAGGGTACCTAGAACACGGTCTCGTAAAATTGTCAGTTAAACTCCACATCTAGAGCCAGGAGGCCTCTCCCAGGCTGGCTGGGTGCCCTGATGGGCAGGAGGTGGGCTTGAGGTTGTCCTGACTCCAACCATAGGCGTGGGGGGTCTCATTTCAGGATTGTGGAGGAGGAAGAGAAGTTTAAGAAGCAGTGGGAGGAAGACTGGGGCTCAAAGGAGCAGCTGCTCCTGCCCAAGACCATCAGCACTGAGGCGCACCCAGTGTCCCTGCGCAAGCCCAAGTGTACGTATTGTGCATGGGGGAGGGATAGAGGGCAACGCGGCTGGGGTTTCGTTCCCCGCTCCTTCCCAGATGACTAGCTCATGGCTCTCTGAGCTGCATTTCCGCCGTGGGGGGACAGCGACGTGTCTGGGGCCATCTGCGGGGACATTGGGGTGGGAGGAAACTGGCGGCTCCTGGACGTTCCCCGTAATGCACACTCAGGCAGACTGTGGGGCTGCTGAGGAGGGCGGAGAGCTGTGGCCAAGGCAGAACCGGCTCGTGGGATTGCCGTCTTAGTTTGTTGGGTGGAGCATGCCCTCTTCCCACCCGGTTCTCAGCTGAAGCTGGGATGGAGCCAGCAGCAAGGAAGAGAGGAAGGTGCTTTGGTGGTCCAGCATTGGTGTGGGGGGAGCTTGCTGGGGCTCCCCATCTCCTGCATCTGTGCACAGGGTCTGCTGCCAGACCATGCCAGGGACGGAGGTAGGGAGAGGATGGTGAGACCCAGCTCCTGATGCCTGCAGCGTCTCCACTTTTCACCTGCCCTACAGCTCACCTCCAGTTTCAGGCCAGGTGGCCAACAACGGCTCCTCTCAACCCCACCTTCCCGATGTCTCTCTTCCGATGTCTCTTCAAGAGACAGCGCACACTGCCGGGACATACCAGGGTCTCAGTGGCAGTGTCTCTTTGGTGGACTGGTGGTAGGAGCAGGGAACAAGGCTGCTTGGGAGCCACAGAGGTCACAAGCAGGGGGTTCCTGGTTGATTCTTTGTGCTGCCTGTATGGTGGCCTTCATTTGTGGCTGACATGGGCCAGGTTCTCTTTCAGCTGCGTGCTCGGCTGACCTGAGAGCCTGGCTCAATCTGGACCCAAGGACCATGGGCGCAGGCATTGGAGATGCTGCGACAGGGTCTCTCCAGCTTGGTCCCTAACTCTGGACATACCCGAGCCCTAGAGCTGTCACTTTGCCCACACGAGCTACTTGGACCCAGGAAGTGGTGCAGGAATCTGGATGGGGCTCAGGACGAAAGCTTCCAGCACATTCTTTCCTGGTAGCAGGGCCACGGGGTCATCTCAGGGTCCTCTGGGGAGGACAAAGCACAGTGTCATCACCCTCACCCTGGCACTCAGGATTGGATGAGGGTGTGGCCAGGGCTAAAGTCCCAGTGAACAATCCGTGTTTCAGATGGGCAGCTAATCTGTTCTTATGGGTGAAATAGGAGCTTCAGAGGGAGAGGAATCGATTTTAATTGCTTCTCATGAAAGTAATCCTGGTCAATTTAGTACCTTCCCAGAGACTGGGTCTCAGCTTCACAGCAAACACTCCCTCTTAGGAACTACAGAAAATAAAAACCCTTTCATTAGCTAACTATTTATTTAATGCTTTATAACCAAATCCAATTTCTTGAATAAAAGGAGCAAGGATTGTGCCTTTGCTCAAGATAAAGGTGTTTTAAGGCAGAGCCACAAAGCCCAGGATTAATGATCACAGTGTGCTGGCCAAGCTGGGGTGCCTGCTGCCACCATCCATCTCCGTACACACCTCCGATGCCAGCTCCGCTCCTGCCGCTCCCGCCACTCCCGTTCCCAGGAGACTGGAATGGCCTCAGCTGCCTTGGGCCAGCACGACCATGCCCAGCAAGCCCCCCCCCCCCCCACTCCCATCACCCTTGGGCTCTGGGACCTGCTTAGTCAACAGGTTACACCTGACTCAGGTTTTAGTGCCTGTGAGGGGTGGACCCAGCCTTTGTTCACAGAGTGTGGGGCATCTCTCAACCTGGCCAATGAAGCCACTCGCCCACTGCTGGGGTCAGAGTACTGCTCTCCCACTTCTCCAGGAAGCTCTTACCATTGCTTCCCCATGGTCCAGCTATCAGAAGCCCAGTGTTCTACAAACCCTCAAAGCCAGGACACAGTGTCACAGGGACGCCCCCCTCTCTGCGCCCTGAACACTTTTCCTTAGCTAAAGCAGGGGGGCAGCGAGTAGGGAATCTTTATTAAGGACCCAGAGAGAAAGAGGTTTAAACAAGAGCTCACACGCCTTCTGTCCTCATCAAGGACCCTAGCAACAGTCCCCCCGACAAGCGCTACTGCAATAGACCGCATGATCTGGAAGGCGAGTTTCTTTCCCACCAAACTCTTTTAAGTAATCATCCGCGTCCCCAGAGTTTCATTAAGCAGTCCTTGTTAGCAGGGAGCATCTGGGTTCCACAGTTGAGTAAATGGGATTCAAGCCCAAAGCAAAGGAGTTTAATATCCAGGCTTCTCCTAAGCCAAGTTCCTTCAAGCTTGTAAAATATGAAAAGGCAGCTCAGAAGCAGACTCATGCATTGCCTTCCAGGGTCCCAGGGAGACCCAACTAGAAACAACTGCAACTCCCGTCATCCTAGCCTCGTGCACCCCACCCCCTGAGGACCCCAGCCTTCATGCCCCCCTGCACACACTGCCTACAGGTCCAAGGCAAAGGCAGTAAAGCTTGGCCCAGGCACTGCACACAGAAGCATGAGGACAGGACTTCCCGTTCTGCCGTCGCAAGCCCTCACCCTCCTAGGTGTGTCATCCTCAGATAGTCCCACCCTCCTCCCAACACCCTGCAAACTGCTTCTCTTGCTGCTGTTGGATCAGAGGCCTCTCTTGTTGGCCCATTTTGCAGGTAGACAAACTAAAGCTCCAAAGGTTGGCAGCACTTGCGTGTACCAGCCCAGAGCAAGAAACCTTTGTTCTGGCTCCTAGGCCCTGCCCCACACCTCCCAGCTCCCCTAGAGGAAGCTGGTCACAGGTACCCAGGCTCCAGGAAAGCCCCTCCAGCCGCTTGGTCTGTTGAGACTGTTGGTTCACCGGCTTCCCCTTCTCTCCCCTGGGTAGACGATCAGGGAGTGGAGCCCCAGCTCAAGCCTGCAGATGACCTGGATGGAGGCACAGAGAAGCAGGGAGAGCAGGTGCGCGCCCCCGCTTCGCCCCCTGGCCTGGCTGCCCTGCTTGCCTTGCTTGCCCTGCTGGCCTCATCCCGAAGCAGCACAGATACCCAGCTGGCGGGCACGCGGTGGGGACCACTGGGGTCTGTAAAGCTCCTCCAAGCCCCGCATGGCCCAAGCACTGCACACATAAACTTGAGGACAGAACTCACGCCAGGGTGGAAAATCAGCAAGGGCACATCAATGCAATGGACCCTCTGGGCCAAAAATGCACTGCCTGAGCCCGAGCACTTGCCCCCAGGACTCCCTAGACCCCACCCAGATCTGGCAACTAAGGAGCCCAGTGTGCAGGAGGGAGCTGTCACCATCTTGTTCTGAAATGCTGAGGGATCAGAGTGGGCCATTATTTGAGCCGTTGCTCCTGGTTCCAGGGAGCTTCAAGCTTGAGGGGCCTGGATGCAGGTACAAGGGGGACGCTTGGACATCTGCTGCCCACAGCTGCCGGGGCCGTCTACCTCAGAGCTGGCCCAGCCACTACCTTCCCCTTCAATGTTGAGGCCGGAGGATGTGCCCAACACTGCGAGATAAGGCAATTTTGTTTTGTGCGACAAGGATCCAGGCAGAGCCCCCAGGCTGTCTCTGTCACAAGCATTTCTCAGATGGGGTTTAGGGGAGGGCTTTGTGCTTGGAGGCGGGGTCTCTGATTTGGAATAGCTCATCCTTCAAGAAGCAGCTTTCTCTTTGATTTTCTGCCACTGACTTCTGAAGCCAGTGTCCTAGGAGGCATCTGAGAGGTTCCCAGGTCCTGGGAACCTGGGCTTGTCCCTGGTGCTCCCCGGCTGGCTCTGTAACCCAGGTGAGGCCAGGAGAGTGGGGAGAGGCTGAGGGAGCTGCTTCGCGGTGGGTTCTGGCAGCTGAACTTCGCTCACAAAGCCACGTGTTCCTGTGAACACGACTTGCAGGTGCTGCCCACGGATGCCGTGGCCAGCTGAACCGTGCCTCGTGACTCTGTTCTCTGTTCTTGCAGCCTTTGGGTGGTTTTATCGTTACGATGGCAAATTCCCAACCATCCGGAAGGTAGGACAGCACTGGGCGCTGTGCTCGTTTGTTGCTGAGTTTGCTGTGGGTTTTAGCCTTTTCCAAGCAGTTCTCTGCCTGAACAGTGTGGCCTGGCCTGTTCCTTCAGAGGGCTGATCCCACCTGTGCCTCTGCATCAGGCTGCCATCAGATGCCAGGGCCCCACCGCAGAGGCCTCATGGGCAGAGGGAATTCAGGGGCTGAGACCTGCCTGAGGGCCATCAGGCACCCGCCTGGGTCTGTGCCGGCCCTGATGGGCACAGGAAGCTTCTGCTTGGTTTCTCTGTCAGAGTAAAACCAGAGGCCGTGACCACAAGGAGGGGGTCAGACAGGGTGAGGCAGCGGGGCGGGCGCACACAGTGAGGGTCTCCAGACCATGTTGATCCAGACATGGGGGTTTGCTGCCACAGGTGGAGCAGCCCTGGCCGATCGCAGCTCTCCCCTGGAAACATCTCTGTACGTGCCCAGATGTTCAGGGGCTTCAATTTTCTCTCTAAATCTTATTACCATATCTCCAGACGCCATAAAACTCCCTTGTCCCCAGTCTCTCTAAATCACATTGGCATTTGATTAGGGAAGCGGCACTGTTAGTATCTGCAGATTGGACGTTCGAGATGGTTGGTATTTGGAAACCAGGCATCAGCATCAATCAGGGTGAGCTGATCGGATGTTATCACTCGGCTGGCTTTTTCTCGCAAGATGTCAGTCCCCAGAAGCCAAAGTGCCGGCCACCGGGTGGTCTTGACCGGGTGTGACTTCTCCCTGCCCGAAAACCAGTAATGTGTGACCTGGCAGGAGTGTCTGCGCCCTGCAACCAACATGGTGCCACTAAAGAGACAAAGACGATCTCTGACAGAGGTGAACACCCTTGCCTGGGGAGTGCGGGTCGGGATTCAGCTGGCATCGAGTGGATGCAGCCAGGGCCACGCAATGCACTTGGTGTCATTCGACTGGCCTTTCCCTGTTGTGTGCTGACTCTGCTGCAGGTGTCTCACTGGGTTAGACTTACAACCCTTCACTGTCCCCTGTCTCTGCTAGAAGTCAACGAGAGAAGACAAAGGACACACGCACACACACACACACACACACACACATTCACACACACAGGATCTTACCAGAAAAAAAAAAGGCAAAAGGAAATGAAGGTCACATACTTTCCAGGCACTAATAACTATGTAAATGTCAGAGAACTAGAATCTCCTACACACACACACACACACACACACACACACACCAGCCCGTCAGAAATCACGGCATGGGAAAGCTGCCCTGGTTAAGGAGGTAGGGCTGCTTTCCCTCTGTTCATTGGCTCAGTCGTCTCAGAAAGAGCTGAAGTTTGGGCTTTCGTTTTCATTTGCAGAGAGTGAAAGATTGCTTCTAGACAGGAGCAAGAGCACACCCGCCCCATCTGCCTCCCCTCTCAGTCTGCACCGGAAGGAGTATCTGCCGTGAATTTAACTGTCCACTGAAAGGACACAGGGTTACGTCCCTTAACCTGGCCCCCAAAATCCATCATCAGTTTTCCTAGAGCCACGGAAGATGCTTTGTCTCCCAGCACCTGCCACGCCGAGTCCCCACATAATACAGGCAGGCATCCATGGCCATGGCTCTCAACGCACAGAATTCTGATTTGCAGAGACCAGGAAGCAACAGCTTCTACTCCTACCCTAGCAGGAAGTCCCTCTGGGCTCAAGGCCTCCAGCCCCACAATGTCTACACCAGGGCCTAAAGACCTTCCGCCAGCCCTGATTGAGAAAATCCTGCAGCCCCCTGGCAGGGTCTGCAGAGTCACCCACAGCTTAGTGGCCTGTGGCGGGGGCTGCAGTGGAGCCATGTGCAGCTTGCCCCCTGCATCTGTAGACAGATGCAGCTTTCTTGGGGATGGGACAGAAGCTGCTGTCAGCCTGTCCCACCCAGAAGCCCTGGGTCTAAAATCTTGGCACTGGTGTCTTTTTTAAACCAATGGAACACCCGTTCCTATCAGGGTGGTCCCCGGGGGAGGCCACGCCCTCATTTTAGCAGTTGGAGGCTGCTCTCAGGGCATCGCTGTCGGAATCTTGAACATGATGGCCGGGTTCACCTATCAGCTGGGTGGAGAGTCTAGTGAGCAGGGGAGGCAGGGAACCAACCAGGACTCCAAAGCAATGAGAACCACTTTTCCAAGAGGGTCACAGGCTCACAGGCCCCAGTGGGGAGCACAGCATGCAGGCCACACACACAGGTGGTGGGATTGTCTTTAGTAGCAGAGATAGGAAGCACTTGTCAGAGGTCCCTGGTGACTCAGCATCCCTGCCAGCTGGTGGGAGGAAGTTGTGTCTGTGGTCTGGAAACTCAGTTCCTCACTGGTGGCCCTGATGCTGAGATGGGTCAGGAATCTGATAGCAGGCTTCCGCAGGCTGGGTAGAAGGGCCCAGCTGCCCAGGGCGTTGCCAGCCATGTCCTGTGTGCTCGCTTTGTCCCCCTTGCCCCCAGCCCCTCCAGGCGCCATAGAAAAATGGTAAGACCTGGCTGATTTGGGGTTCAGATCCTGACACTGTCACTTACTAGATTCTGGTATCAGGCGGGGGACCTCGCCTTTCCGGGCTTGGGCTCTCCCATGAAGAGTGGGCATGCTCCTTGCACAGGGGTTATGGGAGTGCCTCCTTGGCATGTGGGCAGCCATGGGTTTCTTCTCTTCCATCCTCACTCTGTGGGGGAAGCAGCCAGGATGCTGGCTCTACGGGGAGCTTCCTCCCCAGGTCCTCGCAACCCCTGTTGAAACAGCCTGTGTGAAACAGGCCGTCCTCCCCACCAGCCAGTCCTGTCCTGCAGTTCCTAGCTAATCCTCCATTGAGGGGCCCGGTTCAGAGGGAGCCGTGGGTTTGGAGTAGCAGAATGCAGAGTCTGGAGCTTAAGCAACAGGGGGAAATCTGATGTTCCTGGCTCTGGGTCCCCAGGTCTGAGCTGGTTCCCATCTCCTCTAGCTCAGGATAGAGGGTCCCTGCAGGTGAGAATTGCCAGCCTCCCCGTAGTTCCTATGGAGCCCCCACAGCATACAGCTGTGGTCCCTAAAGATGAGCCACCCTTCTCCCCAGATGTGGAGAAAGCCTATACTCAGGCACTAGGAAATGAATGCAATGCCTTTTATTTATGCAAACTTCCACACTTACAAAGCTCTCCCATAGATGTTGTTTCATTGGCACTAAATACAAGCCTGTGGGGCAGGTGTTTCACCCGCTTTGAAAATGAGGCAAATAAGGCCAAAAGAGGTTAAAGAACTCAGCCAAGGTCACATAGCTTATTAGTAAACCAGTTAGCCAGTTCGGGCTGGCCAAAAGTGTATGTCCCCCACTCCGCAGTGGGTAGCAGGGACCTGAAGCTGAGGTCTGGTGGGACACAGCCAGGCGTGGTGAGGTTGTTGCCTGGTGGTGTTGCCTGGTGTTGTCTGTGGACTGGATGCCCCGTGTGCTGTGCTGTGCTAGTGTCGACACCACGTGGTGCCCCTTGTCATACAAACACCACTATGTCTGCTCAGAAAGGAAAAGATAAGAAGAAAACCCAGGAGGACAGCCTGCAGGAACTGAAAAAGAATAAGAAGGAGCTGGAGTTTGAGCAAAAGCTTTACAAAGAGAAAGAGGAAATGCTGGAAAAGGAAAAGCAACTAAAGATCAACCGGCTGGCCCAGGAGGTACGAGGACCAGCTGCGGCCGGGCCAGCAACCCAGGACACACTGTGCTCCCCAGGGCCAGGTGGAGTCGTTCTCCCCAAATGGAGTCCAAGGGTGGCATGAGCCCTACTGCTCTCCCAAAGAGAGATCACCCCACCGGCTCGGGGTCTTATGGGATTGGCCCCGGCTCACGTGCATGTTTGGGATTGAGACTAACCCCCATGTGCAGGGCATGAGTCTGAGGCTAGCCTACACTAGAGTGTAGGTCTCACGTTAGTCCTTGATACAGCTAGCTAGAGGTTTGAATCTTCCCCTTCCCTCACCCTATTAGAATATAAGTCTAAGGCTAGGCCTCTCCACTGTAGCTGTGTCTTTGAGGCTGCACACACAGAGTTTAAAGCTAACCCTTCTGCCTAGCTTGTCAATCTGAAGTTAGCCTTCTACTCACCTGAGTCTCCCCAGCCTGGCCTGGCTTTGAGAGTACAGGTTTGAGGCTAACCCCTTTCTGCAGGTCATGGGTCTGAAGCTAGCCCCAGTTGGACACAAGATTTGTCTGTGGACAGACCTCTTTAATTTAGGAATGAATCTCAGGCTGTCCCTCTAAGATTTGCCCAGGGCAGCCTTCCAGCCTGAGAAATCCCCATTTCCGAGGTGAGATGGGTGCCATGACTCCCCCACTGCAGGCGATGGGATGGTTCCTGCTTCTCTCTAATGCTCCATGAATCAGAATGCCAAGTTGATTAGATTATAAAACCGCAGAAGCCCTGGAAAATGTGAAGTGCATTAGATCCGGCATTAGGAACAAATTAGATACAAAATTAAAAACAAATTGAACTGTGCTTCTGAGAAGGCAGCCTGGAGGTAAAAAACCATGTGCAGCTGAACCCTTGGAATGTGCTGGGAGCCTACCAAAGAAGGGCTGTTACTGGAAAGCCCGAAGAGTCTCCGTATTTGTGGGGATCCTGGGATTCCATGCGATACATAGCCCTTTCTTGGCTAAGTCACCTGCTCCCCGCCATCCCCACCACTTTGCCTCCTCAGAGGCAGGTAGAGCAGCTGACACCCCCAGATGTGCTCTGGGGTCTCAGACAAATGCTGCCCGCTCTGCTGGCCACGTGTGAGTCACGTGAGCCCCTTGTCCTCTCCTGTGTGCGCCTGTCCTGGGCCCAGGTGTCGGAGACAGAGCGGGAAGACCTGGAGGAATCGGAAAAGATTCAGTATTGGGTGGAGAGGCTCTGTCAGACGCGGCTCGAGCAGATCTCCTCTGCTGAGAATGAGCTTTCCGAGGTAATGGCGCCCTTCTTTCCACGTGGACCCTCCTGGGGATGGCGGGAGGCGTGATGGCCACGGGCAAACCCCGCCAGACACACAGGTGCCACTCCGCTGTCCGGGGGAGGGAGAGGAGTCTGTATTTCTGGGCGTAGCTCCAGAGTGACTATTTGGTCCCAGCTTGCTTCAGCTAGGCCTGAGCTCCTGGTGGGATGAGCAGGAACGCCCTTTCCATCTCACCTGTGTCCCAGGGTAGGGGTCGAAGTGCAGGATTAGCTCACCACCCACAGACAGCAAAGTGTGGGCCTCGTCTGCCTTTGGGGATGCCCTTCCAGCCCCTGGTGTGGGCTCAGCCGGGCACTAGGTGGCAGAGCAGTGCCACCCCTGCTTCTGCTTTGAGGGTCGGGGGTCCCCAGCAGCCAGAGCTTTGTACTGTCTTGTGAATGGAGCTCTAGTCACTGTGGACAATTACAGAACTTTCTTGTACCCCGCCCCCCAGATGACCACAGGGCCCCCACCTCCCCCGCCTTCTGTGTCTCCCCTGGCCCCACCCCTGAGACGCTTCGCAGGTGGACTGCACCTGCACACCACTGACCTGGATGACATCCCCTTGGACATGTTCTACTACCCCCCCAAGACTCCCTCAGCCTTGCCCGTGATGCCCCACCCTCCACCCTCCAATCCACCCACCAAGGTCTCCGCACCCCCAGTCCTTCCCACAACCGGCCACCTGAGCACCTCATCTTCTCCCTGGGTACAGCGCACGCCACCGCCCATCCCCATCCCTCCCCCGCCGTCCATCCCCACACAAGACCTCACTCCTACCCGCCCACTGCCCTCGGCACTGGAGGAGGCACTAGGCCACCACCCCTTCCGTGCCAGTGACACGAGCAACCCAACGGAGGACTGGGAAGCAAAGACCCACGGTGGGAAGCCCACCAGCTCCCCCGTTCCTGAGCGGAGCTTCCCTCCCACCCCAAAGGTACCGGGCCTGTTCCGCATGCTGTTCCGGGAAGCGGGAAGAGTGGGGAGAGTTGCTGGTTCCCGGTCCTCCACTGCTCCTCGGAGTGGAGGCGGAGGAAACACCAGCTCACCCTATCTGCCAGCAACACCCCTCAGCCTGCATGTGGGGGCCTCCTGCTTGCGGATGGGGCTACTACTGGGGAATTGTATGGTGACTTGCCTGGGAATGGTGGTGGGTGAATAACAGTGTGTCCGCTCGGTAGCCACTGCTCTCTCAGCGCCTCTTGGCTAGTGTGGGCTGGTAACTTCCAGTGCAGTACTGTTAACGTCACCTGCCGCCGTTTCTTGACATTATCCTAGACAGCCTTGAATATGTGAAATGATTTCTGTGTTTTGGATGGGTAAAGAGGGAGGGGAGCCAGGAAGCGGTATTAGCTTCTGTGAATGAAGTGGTAACGCTTGTACAAGGCAGCGTTCGAACATTACAGTGCCATTTCCAATGGTACAAGCCAGCTCCATTGACTTGAACTGTAATTCAGAAATTTCTGGCCTGCTTCCAGTTAAAGAAAAAAAAAAAGATCAGAGAGCTCCTGGAAATCTCCAAATTTGCTATTAAAAGACAAGGAATGTTTCTCTTGGCTTCAGGAAGCTGAGCAGTGATCTTTCTCAAAAAGACATATCTCGTAGTGATTGTTCTTAATCCAAAGACTCTTTTGAAAGATCCCTGAGGAAGACATGGGCTTTGATCCTGGCGAAACATAACATATTCCTCTGCTCCCGTAGCCGTGGGGCCAGGCTGGAGTCAGAGTCCAAGCGGCTCGTGTCAGCTGAGGGCAGCTTGCTGGAGTCTGTAGCACTTGACCAGTATCTTGTAGTAACCGCCCACCTGAGTTTCTTGTACCCCGCCCCCCAGATGACCAAGGGCCCCCACCTCCCCCGCCCCCGAGGCGCAGAGCTGAGTATCTCAGAGCACTCGGGAGAGCTTGGGGAAAGGAAGGCAGAGTGGAGGAAGGGCCAGGTGCCAACAAGGCTGCACCCCCAGCAGGGGACTCTCAGAGGGACTCTCCGAGCCCCTCTGTTCCGGAGGTGTCTTCCTCTGAGCCCTGCCAGGAGCCAGTGTGCAGGGGCTGAGTCTGGCACAGAGGGCAGTAGCTTTTCATCAACACACTTGATTCTGCCACCATCGACTGAGCACCTGCCCTATGCCTCCTTGTCTAGGGTACACCTGTGCTTCCCAGGTCTTTGCCATCTGAGGGTGACCCCACTGTAGCGTAGGCTTAGGCCATGTGCGTGGAAGGGATTCTACCGAGAGACTGAAGTCCTCTCTGCATAGAGGGCATGTGAGCGAGGCCTTGAGGGACGGGGATGCAAGCGGGACAGGAGGAAGGGCACTGCAGGTGTGGGGAACATGAAGACCACAAGGAGGAACAGCAGAGCAGCAGACTGCCTGGTTGTCAGTCCTGGCTCCACCACACACTGGCTGGTGGCTGTGACCTTGGCCGTGGGCTAGTTTGTTTGTCTGAGCCTGTGCCCTTTGTACATGATGGTACCTGCCTGTCTGGAGAACCCAATGAATTAACAATGAGGACATCTTACGTTAGTACCTAGAAGAGTGGCAGACACACCAGAGGTGTTCAGTAGATATTAACTGTGGTTCTTGACAGTCCAGAGTACAAGAAAAGCTGGGTGGAGCTACAAATGTGGGACTGGAGTGATCTCAGCAAACTTTGGAGGCAGGGTCAAGATTCACGCCAGGGTGCGGCCTTCTCTGATTCTTCAAGGAATCATAAAGTTCCCACTGGTACTTCCTGATCTGAGCACCAGGAAGGTTTAAGGTTCCCTCACACAAAGGCTGTCTCGGGAAGGTCAGGAAACCGCCATTGGGTGGCTTTGTCCTTGCATCTGTACTCTGGTCCCTGGGCCATCTGCATTGCCCAATCTCCCTGTGGCATGCCCCTCACAAGTTGTCAGCAGCGCTGCAGCAGGAAGTGTGAGTGACCACACATCCACAATCGGCCCAGCCACAAGCAGGCCTCAGGTAGTGGAAACGAACAGCTGTGTTGGCTTAACGCGAGTGCCTGCCCCACTGCGCCTGCCAGAGGGAAGTTTTCAGGGCCCAGTCTGCCCCCAGGCACTGTCCCACACACCCACCCTACTGTTGGGCCATTCATTTCTTCATCCAACACATGCTTATTGAGCCCCTACCATATGCTAGACACTGGGAACCATAGGCAGGCAGAGTCCCTGTCAGAGAAAGTCTGGTGTGCAAGAAAGACAAGCAGGCAGCTTCTACACTACCAGGGAGGTGATGGGACACATGGGTGCTGCGAGGAGGGGTGCAGGTGGAGAGGAAGGCAGTGATGACCACGCTGGCTAACAGGAGGGGAGGGCGTGTGCAAAGGTCTCGAGGTGAGATATCCTAGCATTTTGGAGGCTGAAGTTAAGCAATGTGAGGCGGGGGTGGGGGGGTGGGGGGGTATGGAGTTGGGGATGAGGTTGAAAAGAAAGGTAGAAGAAGCCCATGAAGGGTCTTGGAGGTCAACCCAAGGAAGCCAGTAGCCCCTGGAGACCCATGGAGGGGTTTTGGACAGGGTGGTGACCCAGTTACAGACATCTTGCCCAAAATGACACAGGGGTTAGCACACACAGACCAGTTGCATCAGCTCCCCAGGATGCCACTCTGGTTGGTCCATATCCCATGGCCTTGAAAGACTCTGTGCCCAGCCAGAGCATTCGACACCTCATTTTGCAGCCCAGGATCTGGAACCATGGGCAGAAGAGATAGCCCTTAGAGGCAGGGGTTTCTGGAGGCCACTGTGACTGCTGAGAGAGAGCCTTCTTTGGAAGTGTGTCCCCTGAGTGACAGTGGACACTGGCATCCCCAACCAGGCTGTGGCTCAAGCATCTGATTGCTTAGCGACATCCAGGTTCTGTGCCCCCAGACTACATGGTGGCCAGTGTCCTCCTCATATCTCTGCTGAAGATGACACGCCCAGGACCTCCAGCAAGGGGAACGGACCTGGCTGGCTCAGCATGTGCATGGGTGTGAGTTTGCATGTGTACAGAGGTACCGTGGCTGGCCGACGCCACCCCCACCACCACCTCAGGTGGGTCTCTCTTGAACTAACCCCTGTAGACATTTTGCCCAAGCCCCCAGCCTCCACGAGGCCCTGGCGTGTCTACCATCTCCAAGCCTGTCATGGTCCAGCAAGAGTCCAACTTCATCTACAGGCCAGCCATGAAGTCCGAGGTCCTGGTAAGCCCCCCGAGAGCTGCAGAACTCTCCCTCCAGAGGGGGAGTGAGGGGGGATGCAGACTCAGAGCAGGTGCCATCTGGGCACGCTCTTACTGGCTAAGGAGGAGTCCACAGGGGTGCTGATGGGACAGTGGCATTCTTGTCCCACCTTGACCAAACAGCCTGGAGCTCTACCATACAGTACAACAATAACAACAATAGCAGCTAAGACTTGCTGAGAGCCTTCCAGGTGCCGGGCTCTGCATGGCCTCACTTAACCCTCCCAGCAACCCAGTGAGATGGTTCCTGTTTTTGTCCCTGCTTAACTTCCAGGGAAACTGAGGCACAGAGCGATTAAGGTGGTTGCCCACAGCACAGCCTGAACTTACAACTTCCTCCCAAGTCTTTCATCTTCCAAAGCTTGCGCTCTTGCTCACGTGGTCCAGTTGCCAAAGCCTGCAGAGACCTAGTTCCCCAGCCTGTTGTGGCCCCCGTTGGGGACACCCTCAGCCGGGGAATGGGCCGAGTGGACACGTTCCCTTCCTTCATTTCCCTTCTCGCTCCTCGCTAGGACTGGAGGTCTGACACGAGGTCCTGGGGCAGTGGGGAGGCTCTGCCCACCCCCCACTGGTGTCAGAGGGGGCTGGGACTCACGTGTAACCCTTCCCCCCACCGCCCACTGAGGTGCCAGGGGGAAGGGACTGGGCCAGACTTTCCCTCTCATGGAAACCCTACCCACATGTCAGGGTGGGGCAGCGCAGATGTTTATCTTGAGCTCTAGCTGTCCCATTAGCTCCCAAAGGGCAAAGTTCACACTGCGGGGCAGCCTCTGCCAGCCTCTGCTGCGCCCATGCTGCATTCTCTGGCCGGTGTCAAGGATGCTGCCCGCTCGCCCATGAGTGGCAGCGGCTGTGCTGGTTGGGGGAGGGGCAGGCCGGCAGGCTGCTGATAAGGCAGACCATGTCTGGCTGAGAGGGAGTTGGCAGGGCTGGCGCCAGGGGGCAGACGAGACCTACTGGGCATGTCAGGGGTGGACCTGTTTTCTTCCTGACAGCCACAGGAGATGCTGAAGAGGATGGTGGTGTATCAGACCGCGTTCAGACAAGTAAAACCACACCCGCCGTGTGCCGTGGTCCTCCCCGCCCTCCCACTCTGCCTGACCTCTGTCTCTCTGGGAGTGCCAGTTGGTTCCCAGGCAGCCGCAAGGGCCATCTTCGGGGGAGCCTCAGGCCGGATGCTGCCCCCAGGGCCTTGCCCGCATCAGGGGTCGGGAGTGACATGTCCTATCAGATGGGGACCCGGGACTGGTTGGGCCCCAAGCTCGAGCTGACCAAGGAGCAGGACCCCTGGATGTTTGCTTCTTTTCCTGGTTTGTTCAAAGAGGAGCAGGATAGAGGGAACAAACCCTCAGAGGACCACTGAGGCCATGACAGGCCCTGGCTGTAGCCCTGGGAGAGAAGGAGGGGCTGCCTGAAACCTTCCCTGTCCTGTCCACTAGACGAAGATCAGAGCTTCGAGCAAACCCCGCCTGGCACTGGCCTGGCATCAGGGAGGAAGCGGTGGCTCAGGTCCTGCTTCTGCCCAGGGTGCTCCTGGGCTAGGGACATGGTCTCTGAGGGGTGCCAGGCACGTCTCCTCCACATTTCTGGGGGCTTAGGGCCACGGAGCCAGCCACTGGATTGGCTGCTTCTCCACAGTAGAGAGTGGGAGACGGCACAGCCAGCCCTGGCTTCTCAGCCCCCCTCCCTGGTAAGCCCCCCTCAGACTTGAGGCTGACTTGACTGCAGGCAGGGGCCGGAGAGGTAGGCACAGTGACACACAGGCTGGGGAGTGACGGCGACAGCTCGTCCTTAGGGGTGCTGCACCTAGTGTGGCTCTGAGCACTTCCCAGACTTTACTCATCGGACCTCACAGCAACCTTGGCGGAGGGGTGGGGGGGGGGGGACGAGTGCTGTTCCCATCGCCATCTAGAGATGAGACCCCGAGGCGGAGGCTGGTGGCACGGCTAGTGTCAGACCCTGGACTGGCATCCAGGAGGCGGGGCTCTGCAGCATCCTCACGCGTCGCCACTGCCTCTGCAGGCACTCACAGAACAGGCACCGAGAGACACCGGGAGGGCAGGTGCCTGGGGCTCTGGGCTCTGGGCTCTGGGGCCCGCGGGCACGAAGGCCACCTCTTTGGGCCTCAGTGTCTCTGTGTGCTGAATGAGGGACTGGGCTCCCTCTCTAAAGGCAGACCAGCGATCACGGCTGAGGAGTCTCTGACCTCACTTGCACGAGTCACAAGCCCACCCCAGACAGCAAGATCTCGCAGTCAGGGAAATGGGGCCCAAAGCCAGCACTGCCTTCCAGAAGCAGCTCCAGGGACAGGCAGACTCTCCCAGGGAAAGAGCAGGGACCTCCCAGGCCTGTCACCAGCCAGGCTGTGGCCTTGGAGCTGGGCCAGACACTGGACCTCTCGGGGACTGGGCCTGGAAGTGGCAGCTCACAAGGAGGGAAGCCAGGCAGACGCCCAGGGGTCTGCTTGCTGCCGCTGGGCAGGGGGTTGTCTGTGGCCTCACCACTACAACAGCTGTAGGCCCCCTCGGGGACGCTCGGCATGGCCTAGGGGACCCACCGTGAGCTGAGGTGGCTCAGCTCTCCCCAGCAGTGGGCTCTCCTTCACACCTACCTCCCGGCATGGGGGGAGGAGGGGCTCCCTGAGGCGGGGACGCCCCAGCTTCGTTCCCCGAGAGGCACTCCTGGGTAGGGGGACCTGTGTTCTGGCTCTGCGCCTCCTTCTCACTGCCTTGTTTCTAAGTTGGGGACATTGTCCCCAGGGCTGCCCGTCAAGCAGAGGCCCCTGAGCCGTGTGTGCCCCCTGCTCCTGCCCTGGCTAAGGGGCCAGCCTGGGGTCCTGGGCCGCTGGGCAGCTTCTCACTTCCCTTGTGAGCATTGCGTTAGGAACAGTGCCGGGCACCAGCCAGCGGTGTCCCCACGCCTCCTCCATCTCCTGGGGCTGACCGCCCGGGGACAGCAGCCTCCTCAGCAGGACAGGCACGCCTGGCTGGGTCACAGCACTGGCTTGGAGGAGCACTGAGCCTCAGCCCCAGGGCTGCCGAGGTGAGGCCTAGAAGCCCCGAGGCTGAGGGATGAGAGTTTCGGTAGGGCAGGGCCTGTCCAGCCAGGCCGTGTAGACGGCACCAGGGTCCCTGCAGCCACAGACACTCACCCGCTGGGACAGTGCAGGGCCGTGGTCCCCACCAGCTTTCTGCAACTTCCTGCTTGTCCCCGATTCAGGGGGCTCTGGCTGTGGGGGCTGCCGGCTTCCTGCCTGCACCCCAGCCCTTGGATTCCAACTCCCCTCCCCCACCCAGTCCTGAGCTTGCTTCTGCTGTGAGCCCCAAGGGCATCTGCTCTGCTGCCCTAAAGCTGTCCCTTTGCTCCCAGGATTTCCGGAAATACGAGGAAGGCTTTGACCCCTACTCCATGGTAAGAGAGGAAGCTCCCCCCAACCAGGGGAGGCACCCCAGGCATGGGGGGAGACCCTCAGCATTGGATCAGGTGGTGCCTGCTGGGCCCTGAGAGCCCTGGGGACAAGGTGGGTGCGCGGGGAGCCCCAGGACGCACCTGCTGCTGTCTGCTATGAGGGGCTCCCTCAGATGGCTTTTCAGTGTGAACAGTGAGTGTGTGTGTGTGTGGTCCCCATGGAGCCTGGGACCCCTGGCTAAAGACTGCTTGTGCTGGGTCTGGGAAAGACCCCTTGTACCTGTGCTCCATGGGCCCAGTGCCCACCGGGGGCCTGGCTTCCCTGTCCACCCTGCCCCACCCACATCCTCAGGCCAGTCGAGGTGAGGCCCCAATGTCTTTTTCCGTCTAGTTCACCCCGGAGCAGATCATGGGAAAGGATGTCCGGCTGCTGCGCATTAAGAAGGTATGGGGTGGGGGGCGGGGCTAGGCCACCGCCCTTCTGTGCCCCTGTGCCCGCTGCCTGGGCTCCCTGGGTGACCTGCAGGCCCCCATGCTGTCCCTGCCCCCACCGAGGGCCTCTCTGGCTGTGGGCCCGCACCCCCAGGGCGCCTTTCTCCCTGGAAGCCCCCCAGGTTCTTCCTTGGTGCCCACCTGCAGCAGGCTGCTCTCTGCTTCCTTTGCTGAGCTGTTTCCCTCTTAAGCAGGAGGGCGCCCTGGACCTGGCGCTGGAAGGCGGCGTGGACTCTCCGGTCGGGAAGGTGGTCGTCTCCGCCGTGTACGAGGGCGGAGCGGCTGAGCGGCACGGTGAGTGGGGACCAGCCAGGCCCCTGTTGGGGAGGAGGGCGGATGGCTCTCCAGGCTCCCGTGCCGCCCTCCCTCCCCAGAAAGCAAACAGCTGCCAGCTAGGAGCAGGCTAACTGCTGCTCAAGAACACCATGCCAGCCAGCCATGTCTCCAACCCCAGGCCATGCCTGGGGTGCCTGGCCCAAGCAGACACCACCCTGCCCTCTCTGGGGTCCCAGGCAGAAACGCTATGAGAAGGGACACATACGGCCGGTACCAGGGCGGGCTGCTGTGGGTATCCTGGGGAGTCTCTCACCCACCAAGGGGCAGGGGGACACTGGGAAGGGCCCCTTGCAGGGCAAGGCCTTGGGAAGTGCTGGTCTTGGGTGAGAAGGGCTTTCTGGGGAGAGGTGGGGAGAGAAACCCCACCTGTCCTTGCAGGAGACAGAACCAGGGGCTCACCAAGCACCAACCCTGTGCCACATGTGATTGCTTTCTTTTTAATTGAGAGAGAGAGAGAGAGAGATTGAGAGAGATTGAGAGATCTTCTATCCACTGGTTCACTCCCCAAATGCCCACAACAGCACCGGGGCTGAACAGTCCTCTCCCACCAGGGGAGGAACGGCATCCAGGCCTCCCACGTGCCTGGTAGGAACCCAAGCACTTGAAACATTGCCTGCTGCCTTCCAGGGCACTCATTAGCAGGAAGCTGGGTCAGAAGTAGCAGCAGGACTCCAACGCAGGGGCTCCGATATGGGATGCAGGCGTCTCAAGCAGCATCGCTGCACCAAATGCCCACCCCTGCCAGGCGTCCCTGGCACACAGCCCTGAGTCTAAGTGTTTCATGTGCATCGGCTCATTCAGGCTTCACATCAACCCGAGAAGGAGCTGCTTCTCATCGTGCAGCTTAGAGCTGAGGTACAGACACGTGCAAGGACTCACAGCCACCAGATCGAGATAAGGCTTGTGTGCGGGCCATCTGCTCAGTTTGCTTTAGTGCCTACCGCAAGTGCTTGCCCCTCCCAGAGGGCTCCCCACACAATCCCTCTGCCTCTTCTGTGGCTTGGTCTCCTTGGTCTCCTCTTTTCACTTTTTTAAGTTTATTTGAAGTGCAGAATGAGACAGAGAGAGAGGTCTTCCATCTGCTGGTTCACTCCCCAAATGGCTGCAATGGATGGAGCTGAGCCAAGACGAGGCCAGGAGCCAGGAGCTTCTTCTGCTACCCCACGTGGGTGGCAGGGGCCCAAGCACTTGAGCTATCCTCTGCTGCTTTCCCAGGCCATTATCAGGGAATTGGATGGGAAGTGGAGTGGCCAGGATTTGAAGCAGCACTTATATGAGATGCCGGCACTGCAGGCTATGGCTTTACCTGCTATGCCATGGCGCTGGCCCCCATATCCTCTTTTCAGCAATCACCCTCGGCTGATGCATGAAGCCTTCGTGGAGCTAGGAATGTCTCTTGCTACAACCCGTCCACCCTTCACCGGTGTCTGCAATGCCACCCTTTACAACTGCTCTGCCAAGCCAAGGAGGCTATTCAGTGCGCCTGTGTGCTTCGTGGAGGCACAGGTGTCCCTCAGTGGGGGAGCCCCAGGCTCCTTACCTTTCCAGCCCAGAGTGCTGAATCCCATAGTCAGGGCCCAGAGGGAGGTTCTCAGCTGGAGTCAGGCTCTCCCACAAGCAAGGGGTGGAAGAAGGTCAGGCCTGGGGCAGCAGACAGAGTGAGGGCAAGTCGCCCAGTGGGTGACTACAGTGCAGCGTGGGCCCTGGGAGCCTTGGCTGCGGCCAGCTCTGCCACCCTCAGGCCCCCCTCAATCATACTCTGAGCCTCGCACACTCAGCTGCCCAAGGCCACTACTGCTTTCTCACCCCACACACACCCCTCCCCTGCCCTCACTCGTGTACCCACTAAGGGAGGGCAGCTGGGTGGAGTGTGGCCGGCCTGTCCTGCGGGGAAGCAAGGACCAGGGTGCATGGGTAGGTGATTCTCCTGGGGCCCTCCCTACTTAAAGCCCCAGCCCAACCACTGCCTCCTAGCCCCTGCTGCCTGGAGTTGGTACAAAACGAAACAGTGGAAGTCACCCACTCCCTGTCCCACTGTGCCGAGGAAACCGCTGTCTGCAGTTGGGCCCCAGGCTGCTTTGGGTGCTTTGCAGCACCACGGAAGATTCCCCAGGAGCACACGGGTTTCTGGAGCCCCCAGCCACCACCTGCACTCACACAGGCCACAGTCCCGGGGCCTTGGTGCCCTGTTTCACCGTAGCCCACAGAGTGCCCAGCAAACATGGGGACTGGGGAACTTCTACAAGGGGTTCTGATGTCAAAGAGGTGGGGGAGGCCAAGCCCAAGCTGACCACCTCCTGGAGAGTCACCATGTCCACCAGCCAGGGCTGCTGCTATGGCACAGAGGGTTACACCACAGCTACAACACCAGCATCTCCTGCAAGCACCAGCTCACGTCCCGGCTGCTCCACTTCTGATCCCACTCCCTGCTAATGTGCCTGGGAGAGCAGTGGAAGATGGCCTGTGTGCTTGGGCCTGTATCACCCACATGGGAGAACTGGATGGAGTTCCAGGCTCTTGACTTTGGCCTGACCCAGCCCCAGCTATTGTGGTCATTTGGGGAATTAAACATTACATGGAAGATGAATCTCTCTCTCTCTCTCTCTCTGCTGTCATTCTGCCTTTCAAATACATAATAGCTCTAAACAACAAATAAATAAATAAGACACTAGCCATGTTCAAGGCTCTGACAAGTCCTGTGGTGAGTAACTCTTCAGCATATAACTTGTCTTTTTGCAAAATTAGGTCACAGAACAGCCTGCTTCTCTGGACACACCTCTTACACCATTCATTTTATTCCACAAATACCCATTAATGTCTTATCTTGTGTTAGAAAGTGTTAAGTGCTAGGGATGTAGTGTGGATACAAAAAGACAGTGCCTGTCCCCACGGAGCTGAGCATGCGGTGGGAGAGGACCTCAGTAAACAAGCACGCACAGCGGCGCAGGGCTGCACGCCTTGAGAACACCGGTCAGAGAGAGCCGGGGGCTGTGAGAGGGTTATGGGAAAGATCTACTGGAGACTGAGTGGGGGACAGGGATGCCCTGTCTGTGGGCTGGAAGAAGAGACTGGAAAGAGGGGTTAAAGCACTACAGGTGGAACGGCCTGTGCAGGCCCAGAGGTGGCAGTGAGCCTGGCCCACTCAGGGGCCCGAAGCAGACCAGCGTGATGGGACCTCAGAAACTGACAGCTCAGCTGGTAGGGCTGACTCATGCCCCTGACAGGGCACGGGGAATGACAGACGCCAGCCAGAGCTGGGTGCAAGGCTTCAGCACCAGTGTCCCAGGGCCCCTGAGCCAGGGTGAGGACGGGGCAGGGGCGGGGCGGGGAGGAAGTACACTTTGAGTACCTGGGAGTATTCTTTGCTCCTGGGCTGCATGAGCCCACGTGAGCTCTGAGAACTCGGCCACAGAGACCTCCCCCGTGCCAAACCCCTTAGGCCAGGCACGTGTCACGTGCGACCCAGGTGGCCCAGCAGCTTTGTCCTCCTGCAGGTGGCATCGTGAAAGGGGACGAGATCATGGCAATCAATGGCAAGATTGTGACAGACTACACGCTGGCCGAGGCCGAGGCCACCCTGCAGAGGGCCTGGAACCAGGGCGGGGTAAGGACCGGACCCGTCCCCCACGCCACCCTGCCCCCTTTGCCTGCCTGCCTCTAACCCCGGCCTCTGCAGCCTAGCCCAACAGGCGGGTCCCCCCTCCTTGGGTGGGTTTCGGAGGTGCAGGCAGCTCTTGGGGGACACACACGTACCCCATCCAGCTGATGTTCGAAACCTGACAAGAGGGGATTCAAATGTCCCAGTGGGACAAACACAGGCTCACAGCGAGCCCACCCAGGAAAGACTTGATGTCTTCTCCAAGTGCACCCTTAATTAAGGAATTAAGGGTGCGCTCAGAGCTACTAGAGAGCATTAATGGACATAGAGGGCCGGGCGAAGGAGGGCCTGGTGCTGTCCGCTCTGAGCCATTAGACGCCCACCTGGGTCAGGGCTGCTCTGTGAGGTCAACAGGCTGTGGACTGCACCACCCGAAGAAGTGCCGTGCGGTGCACTGTAGTGTGCATGGGGCCCACTCATGTTGTGCAATGCACAACCTGTGCAACTGTGTGCAGGCAGCCGAGCCTGAGGTATTAAATTCAGTGCCAAGGAAGCTGACCAGATGGGCCTGGGACCCACATGACAGGATGTGGAGAAGAGAAGACTTACGGGTAACACGATGACCGTCTTTGATTATCTGAAGTGCTGCATTAGGGCAGGGGGAGCAGAGGTTTTTGGTGATTCTTGAAGGCAGAGCTGGATCGGATGGAGGGAGGGCTGGGGAGAGAGACTCCAGCTCAATATGAGGAACAGAGGGGCCCAGTAATACCCCAGGGACTTTCAGGGGATGCACCCCTACCAAGGGTGGACAGTGCTGGGCAGGCCAGGGATCACAGGGATGCCCCGGGGGTGGGGATGGGGTTCAGAGTGAGGATCAGAAAGCTAGGCCAGAATTGGCTATGCATAAGAATTAATGTGGGATCTGATTAAAAATACTCTTTCCCAGGCCCACCCCAGCCTTTCACGGGGCAAGTCTGTGAGTCTAACAGCTTAGGCAATTCCCCAGGGCGATTCCGAGGTTGCTGCCTGGCCCCGGCCTGCAAAGCAGCATTCGGGAACTTGGTGTCTTTCATTCGGGAACTTGGTGTCTCGCCTTGCAAGTCTGGGCCGGATGGCTCTGAAGCCTGAGACTAGAAGCTTCCCCAGGCCCTAGGACTCCACAGGGAGCCCCCGCCCCCATGCCATGAGCCCCACCTGAGCCCACTTCCTCCGGGTGCCCAGGACCAGGCAGTCAGAGTCGCATGGCTTCCCCCACAGGACTGGATCGACCTTGTCATTGCTGTCTGCCCCCCCAAGGAGTACGACGACGAGCTGTAAGTGTCCGCCGGCACCAGGCCGGCTCCCTGCTCTCCTCCTCTGAAATCTGGCCACTTCCTCCTCCATCCAGCCTCACAGGATGGCCCAAATGCACAGCTGCTGCAAACCAAAGCTCCCTGGAGACTCCAGGGCAGGCAAAGCTCTAGAACTTTGTCCCTGTCCCCCTCATTGTCAGAGCTGCCTGCAAAGCTGTCTTGCCCAAGGTCCCCTTTGCAGGTGGGAAGCTGAGGCTCAAGTTCTCAGATCCAGTAAAGGAGCAAATCGGGAGCACCCGGGGTTTTTGATGCCCCACCCAAAACTCTGTCCCTGGCTCTGTTATTGGATGGTTTAAACCTTTCCACGTCCATCCTTCACTCCCTGGCAGGTCTTCCTGACATCTGACTGCACCCATTCGTACTGTGTCCCTACAAAGCTAAGACCACAGCCTTTGCCCTCCTCTCCTCCCCTCCACCCCATGGGCTCTGCAGGAGCTGTGTCTGCCTTCCCCCGTCAGCCCTGGGTGCCTGTCTCCACCTCTCTATAGCATCCTACCTCTGCCCTGCCCCTGCCACTCACACACTCGCTGGCTGACTTCCCTGCATGCTGTGTAGAAACTAAGAGGTAGCTTCTGCACCTGCATCCCGGGGCCTCGGCAGCAGCGAGAGAAGGAACAGGACCAGGGAGCCCTGCCTGGAGTAACGCAGCCTCTTTTGTTTCCTGCTCTGCTCTGCTCTGCTCTGCTCTGCGGACCTAGCTCTTCCCTTCCCTCCTCCGCAGCCGAAAGCCCCCAGCCGGTCCGCAAGCTCCTTGAAGACCAGGCTCCCGTGTACAGACACGGGTTCCTCCTGCAGCTGGAGCCCACGGTGAATAGGCAGGCGGGCCACAGGGCTCGGCTGTCCGTGCTGCATGCAGTGGCCGTCTGCTGCCTATGCTGCTGCCGGCAGGTTCTTTGGACTGGTGTCTGGATGGGCGCAAGTGCCACCTGGGGCCACACTGGCCCAAAGATGCTACATCAGGGGCGTGGAGCAGAGCCTCTCTGTAGCAGGTGCTTGGACTGCAGATACCCTGGCTCCCCACAGCTCTTGGGAGCAGCCTGGGGTCCCACACGGCACCCAGAGGTGCAGAGTAGAGCTCTGAGCATCACTCGCTGCTGGGCACAGACAGTGCCTCAAGCCAGGTGTGCTGGGCTGGATGCACCACGGGAAGCCTGGCCTGAACCCCCCACCCCCCAGAGACCTGTCCTCAGCAACACGTGCAGCCCCTTCCTGTGCACGCCACCCTGCTCCACCTAGCCCCTTGCTTGAGCAGAACCAGGCCTCTGAAGAGGTGTCTAGGCTGGTCCAAAGAACCAGACTTGGTGGGTTAGAGTGGCTCGCGTCCTGCTGTGGCCTGGCCTGGCCTGAGCCCTGCTCAGACCAAGCTTCTCCTTTGTGCTTTCTGGCCCCTGCACCCCGGGCTCTGTCTGTGGGACTCGCCATGGAGCCCAGCTCTGGCATGTGCTTCCCTCCCAGTGGCAGGTGGCTATGAAACTGGGTTTTGATGTGGCTGGAAGCTCACAGCTGGCAGCATCCGGGGCAGACCCAAGCCAGGACTTGTCGACTTGTCTGTGCTGAAGTCCTCAATACATTAGGGCCCCGTGCTCCCAAGACTGTTGGGTTGCTGTAGTGTGACTCCTGGGGTGGCCTAAGTGGTCCTGTGTTTTCTGTCGCTTGCTCTTGGCAAGGGACCCCCACCCCTCTTCCTGCCTGTCCCCTCCTCCCCATCCCAGGTATCCCTTTGCTTTCTCCTTGGCCTCCTGTGTGCAGTGGCAGTGGCTGGTGCGTGGCCACTGGGGTCTTACCAAGAGGAGCCTCCAGAGGTTGGCAGGGCCTCATGCCAGCAAGGCAGGTGCTCCTGGGCTGAGTGTGCACCCGCACAGCTTGCACCTGCCGCACCTGCCACACCTGCACACCTACTTCCTCTTCCCCACAGGACTTTCTTCTGAAGCCTGGAAGGAGAAACCAAATTCACCCCTAGAAGATGGCGAGCCCTAGACTCACTTCCTCAACCCAAATCCTGCAACCAGCCCTGACAGAGCCCAGCCTGCAGGCAGCGGGAGACACCCTGGAACGTTGACCTGCTACGGCCCTGCCCTAGGGCTGGCTAAGGAGCACCTGGGCCAACATGGAGAGAGGGAGCAGCCAGCTCTTCTAGAGAGGGCTCGGGGCACTGGCCTCATTTTTCGCCCCTGCTCCTGTGAACTTGACCTCTCCCAGCCCTAGTGGGCTCCTCCCTTGAGGCCTACTAGGACCCAACGCCCGAGTCTCCCTCTCTATCCCTCTCCTCCCGCCCCGCTCGAATTGCTGCCACGGAGCTGCTGCAGATCTTCCTCTGCACTCGTTAATAAATAGATTTCTTTTCCAGCCCATGGGAGCGAGTGTGGTTTGGGCCAGCAGATTCAAGGCTTTTAAATCAAAAGCTGTTGCTTTTGATCCCCATTCAAAGGTGAGACACAGATCCCAGTGCTGGGAGCCGAGTCTGACATGGTCTGACATGAGGCCGTGAGCAGCCGAGTGGGGTGGCTCGGGGCGGAGGCTGAGGCGGCCTCAGGGCCTTCTCCACCGAAAGATGGCAGGAAATGAGGCCCCCGTGGCCGCCTCGTTGCTCAATTCTAGAAAGCTTAGCTGAAGGCAAGAAACCAAAGGGTCTCCTCAAGGCGTGGGGTGCCCTGACTTCTCCCAAAGACAGAATGGCCACACCTGCTGCTCCCGAGGTCATCGAGATTGGACACGACGCAGGCAGGGCTGAGGGCCACACTCTGGAACTACAGCAGCAGGGGAGGAGCCGTGGGCTTGAGTCAGGGAGGTGCAACTCTGAAAGCCCAGCGGGGCAGTCAAGGCCCTCTGGATGCAGGGACCAGCGGGGTTGTGTGCACATAAGCACATCGTGGGAACCCAAGACGAGGAGCCCTGGTGTCCCAGAGCCCCTGAGGATCGGACACGGAAGGGGGTTGGAGGGGGGCAGCTCTCTTGGTCCCTTGGTGGCTGCCTCTCTGCCTGTCCACTTCTTGCTGTGGGACCACTAGGCCTCCTGTCTCTGCCATCAGCTTCCCGTGCATGCTCAGAGCTCAGCTAGAACCTGATCGTCTCAATCACCTGCCGGACTCCAGGTGGCCTTCCAGCCGTAGCCCCACCACCAACTACCTGGCTCAGTCCCCACTTCCCAGTCCCCAAGGTCAGGCTGATGGGGTCAGCTCACCTGAGTGGCTGGGGGTGGGGGCACCTCCCACCCCACGTGTGGTTGGGCAGCAGGCCCTGGTCACCACACCTGCTAAAGGATGCCTACAGTGAGCCACCTCCCCACCAACCTGCGCATGCACAGGAAGTGACTGGGCACCCAAGGACAGGTGCCTCGTGCAAGGAGACTGCAGAGAAACACGTTCCTGCCGTCGGCACTGCGGGGAGGCCCTTGGGCAGTCACAGGTCCAGCCTCAGGTTCCCACAACGGATGCAGCCCGGCCAGAATCCTGAGGACTCAGTGTCAAATCAGACACTCCCAGAGTCACTGCAGGGGCCAGGGGGCGGGGGTGGCTAAAACGCAATGACAGTGACCACAAAGAAGCAGCACTGAAGGAGAGCAGTGGGAGGGGGCGTGAGGCTGAGGTCTTGCTGAGCTCCTCAGTGGGGATAAAGCCACAGCAACCTCCGAAGAACTGGCTCCAGAGAGAAGAGCCAGGCCGAGGAGTTGCCCGCACTCTCGTCTGCACAGAGCCTGCTCTGGAGGCAACGCCAACCCCAAAGGGGAGGGAGGAAAGACCCAGGTCGGGATCTACCCTTGGGGGCCGTGTCGGACACTGCCGAGGCCAGAGTCCACAGCGGGGACTGGGCCACACACGGGCACCCTCAGTGATCAAGATGGGGCATTCGGGGCTAAAAGCCCAGCCATGTGCCACCCAGCGCTCCATGCCCTGTAGGGCAGAACTGCTGCTTCCACACTCTGTCACTGTCCCCCACCTCCCCAGGCAGTCACCAACAGCTTGTCCAGGCTGGCCTCCCGGAGGAGCCCTACTTCTACCCTAGAATCCAACTCCCATTGCTGGATGCTTGGGAGAACTGAGGCCCAGGAGGGAGGGAGGGACTTGGCAAAGCCCCATTTGCTGGTGGCATAGCAGCCCAGCCAACTGCACCACGCAGTGGAAACACAAACGTAAAACAGCTGGGGACACGGGGGTGCCCTTTGACCCTGACGCTTTAGCGGTTTACCCATCTCGCTGAAGCTGCTTCCCATAGCCACTCCCCAGGGGCCGTGGGGAGGCTCTGAGGCCTCTCCCCTCTGAACATGGAAGTCACGGGTGACAAGGCTGTGTGGCCGCCCCTGTGCGCCCGAGACGCTCCCAGTGGGCCTGTGTGGGCTGGGAAGCTTCACCCTCAGCCTGACCCGGGCCAGTTCCCAAGCCTGGGTCTGGATAACTGGATAAGCATCTGAGAGCTCCGTCCTCTGCTGTCCCCGCAGTGACACGGCCCCGCTCCCCGGGGTCCAGGCCTAGGATTTCTCAGCTTCATAAGCACACAAAAGTGATGCACCGTGGTAGAAACGATCCTTAATTGTGAATGTGGGGGCCGGTGCTGTGGTGTAGTGCTATGGTTGTGCCTGCAGTGCCAGCATCCCATATAGGCACTGGTTCAAGCCCCAGCTGCTCCACTTCGGATCCATCTCCCTGCTAATGCACCTGGGAAAGCAGTGGAAGATGGCCCAAGTCCTTGGACCCCTGCACCCACACAGGAGATCAGATGGAGTTCCAGTTCTGGCCCAGTCCCAGTTATTGCGACCATTTGGAGAGTGAACCTGCAGATGGAAGATCTCTCTCACTCTCTTTCTCTCAATGTAACTCTGCCTTTCAAATAAATAAACCTTTAAAAAAAATTTAGTGACATCAGGAATCCATTCTGGCCATCTGGATTAGCCAAGATTCTCCAGAGACATGTGAGCAATTGTATATTTATTAGGCTACTTTTAAAAGTTTATGGCAAAATTGATGTCTATAAATTGGATTCTAATTTTTCACTGACTTGTATCATTGGCAATGTATTTTCTTTGTCTTATTATTATTATTATTATTATTCGAGAGGCAGATACAGAGAGCCCCCCAGCTACTGGTTTACTCCCCAAATGTTCCCAACAGCCAGTGCAAGAAAAATTCTGAAATTCATACACAGGTTTTTTTCATAATGTACATTTTTCCGTACTGTTTTTGAAGTTCCTCATACGCATGGATTTCACTTTCTTTAAAGATTTATTTTATTTCTTTGAAAGGCAGAGTTACAGAAAAAGAGAGCTCTTCCATCCATTTGTTCACTACTCAAATGACCACAATGGACGAAGCCAAGAGCCCAGAACTCCATCCAGGTCTCCCATGTGGGTGCAGGAGCCCAAGCACTTGGGCCGTCTTCTGCTGCTTTCCCAGTTGCATTAGCAAGGAGCTGGATTGGAAGCATAGCAGTGGAGATTCAAACAGGCACTCCAATATGGGATCCCCATATCACAGGCACTGTTTAACCCACTGGCCCTATATGCATGGATTTCAAAATAAACATCACTGGGGCTGGTGCTGTGGCATAGTGGGTAAAGCTGCCACCTGCAGTGCCATTATCCCATATGGGAGCTGGCTGGGAATGCAATAGAGGATGGTCCAAGTGCTTGGGCCCCTGCACCTGTGGGGAAGACCCGGAAGAAGCTCCTGGCTCCTGGCTTCGGATAGGCCCAACTCCAGCTGTTGCGGCTGTTTGGAGAACGAACCAGCTGATGGAAGACTTCTCTCTCTCTAACTTTGCCTTTCAAATAAAGAAGTAAATCTTAATAAATAAATAAAAAATCATGAATTCCATTTTCTACAAATATTAAGTACTTTTGAATATGTACATATATATATTTAGAGAGAGAGAGATTTTGTTGTTGTTTTAAGAAATGGGCTCACACAATTGTAGAGGTCACTAAGTCCAAAATCTGCAAGGCAGGCCGGCAGCTGGGACCCAGGGAGCGCTGCCGCTGCAGGCAGAGCCGAGGCAGTGTGGGCTGGAAGGGTTTCCTCTTGCTCCGGAGACATCAGTCTCTGATCCATTAAGGCCTTCCACTGATTGGATGAGGTCCACACACATTTGGAAGGCAATCACTCAAAGTCTACCGAGTTAAATGTTAATCTCATTCACAAAATGCCTTCACAGCGATACCCAGACGTGGCGAACCAAACACCTGGATGCTGTGGCGTAGCCAAGTCGGCCTGTAAATACAGCCCTCACACCACCTCCTGGCTCTACCCTCCTTTGGCTGGCTGGCTTTTCATATGGCTGTCCCCCCATGATGCCAAGGTTGCCCCCAGTATTCTGGATGTATTTGACCAGGTAGGGCAAGCTCAGTGGGAAAATCCCACTTCTGGCTTGATAGTCCCAGCAAAATGCTAAGGATTTGCTTTGCTTAGCTCAAGGTAAGGGTATGGCTACCCTCTGGCCTGCCAGACCTGGTCAGACATCCACTCCTGTAGCCAGGGGTTGGAGCCAGCCCCACAGGGACCAGCTCGACCAAGTGAAAGGGGAGAATGGACTCCAAAAGGAAAACTGGGGTGCCATTATAGGAGGAGGGGCTCTGGGAAGAGACGGAGGGGTGTCCTCCAAGGACCCTGTCCCCTAGGCTCCTGCCTTCCCTCCTTTCCTCCTGTTCTTCCCTTTCTCCTCTCTGTGACCCGCCCTGGAAGGGATCTGCTGCTCAGGACCCCAGGAGCATAGAACCCTTACTAACTCCCAGCTGCTCAGCCACCAAGAAACTGGGGTCAAGAAATGGGTAGTGGGAGGGTCTTCTTTGCCCTTAGGACCACCCCCCCCCCCCCCCGTATGCTATGATACAGGAGTTCCAACACTTGCTCCCCAAATGTTCTGAGAAGAGAACAGAAACCTGACCTTGGGTGCATTAATCTCTATTTTAGTCTCTTC